TCTTGGCAGGGGGTTGGACTGGATGGCCCATGAGGTCTCTTTCAACTCTTTGATTCTATGATTCTATGATTTCACATATTGAAAAACGAGAAACAGTGTAGTCTAATGGTTTGAGCATTGGTTATAATTCTGGAGTCACAACTCCGTGTGACCTGATGGGTGGGATAAATGAAATAAATGTGTAAGCCAGGAATTGGGATCATTCAACCCTTCAGATGTCATTGGACTGCAGCTCCTAGCATTGGCTTGGCTGGCTGGGGGCTGCTGGGAGCTGAAGTCCAACTGTTTCTGGAAGGCTGCATGATCCCCAACTTTCCTGTAAACAATGTGAAGTGATGCCCTTTTCAAAATTACTTAATCTCACTTTTAAGCTGTGGCCGATCTCTGCTTTGTATTCCAAAACTGGGTTTCGTTATAACAGATTTCTTCTTTAATTGCACACTGGTTATTAATTTGGTTGTATGTCACAAGTTTATAATGTTTCTTGTTACTACGATTGGCTGATTTTCAGAGTTCTTATATTACCTTTTTCCAATCAATTAGTTTCTCTCAGAGACATGAAAACACAAAGTCTTTTTTCCCAGGACAGACGAGACAAAGAAAACCAAATTGTCAATGCACTGCATACATATTTGTTCTTAAGCCCAAGACTTGAAAGAGTGTCATGCAGTCAGTGCTATTGTGAGTCAACGTCTTTCCCCGTTCCCTGCAGATACTTCACAGAGTTTGAGACCATCGATCAGCCTGTCACAGACGTTTTCCACTTTGCTGTTTTTGATGCTGATGACAACCAGCTTGACAGTCAAATGTTTACCATCACAATTATGGCTGTCCAAAGGAAGCCTCCGACCATCACTTTTGCCAACCACATCACGGTACATAAATAACCCGAGGGATTCAATGTTGTAGCAGAGAAGCAGAATATGAATAACCCAGGTTTCTAAAATATGATAGTGCTTAGCACAGTGTGTAACTGGGACACCAAAATGGCTTTTAAAGCTCTTAGGAAATGTACATAGCAGGTTCACATAAATGGCGTACTGTTGGTATCCATTGGGTTTTGGTTCCATGGATACCAAATTCTATGGATGCTCAAGCCACATTATATACAATGGTATAGTAAAATAGTGTTCCTTATATTAAATTGCAAAATCAAGACTTGTTTTAAATGTTTGTTTTGTATTGTTTGGGTTAAAGCCATGAAGGTTGGATGCACGAACACAGAAACTGTGGATATGGAGGGCTAGCTGCACCAAGTCAAAAAATTTAGCCATCCAAATCCTGTCTGCTTATTCTCCACTCTGATATTTTGTTTCAGAAATGAAGGTCTTAGGCAAATTTGGGATTGTTGTTGTTGTTCATTCATTCAGTCGTCTCTGACTCTTCGTGACCTCATGGACCAGCCCACGCCAGAGCTCCCTGTCAGCAGTCACCACCCCCAGTTCCTTCAAGGTCAGTCCAGTCACTTGAAGGATGCCATCCATCCATCTTGCCCTTGGTCGGCCCCTCTTCCTTTTAAATTTGGGATTAATATGTTACAAATAAGGATGTTGTTTGTCAGGTGTTATATTTGAGGGGTCACAAAAGCAAAATGTCTCTTTTTAATCAATACAATTTAACATTTACTTTGTTTGCTTAGTGCATGTGTTTATACTTAGTAACCTTAATCCATAAATGTTCTAGGGAGATGATTATTTAATGGGACTTGCAACTGTTTTTCTATTTTTAGGAATTAAAAAATATTTTAAAATACATTAAAAGCAGAAATGCAGTGATGTGTTAGTAATACAACCATATTTAATATAATTCTGGAAGGAAATCAGGGTCAAGCTTGGTTAACACTTGTACAAGAGAGCTCAAGGGAATAGCACACTCTGCTAGAAACATGCTTGAAATTCCGAAGAGTTGCTGTTGGTCAGAACTGACAGTACAGGATGGATGCAATGGACCAATGAACTGATTCAGTATAAGGCAGTTACCTATTTTCTCAGAAAATAATTACTATTAATGTATTGTCGAAGGCTTTCATGGCTGGAACCACTAGGTTCTTGTAGGTTTTTCCGGGCTATATGGCCATGTTCTAGAGGCATTTTCTCCTGACGTTTCGCCTGCATCTATGGCAAGCATCCTACCTCTGAGGATGCTTGCCATAGATGCAGGAGAAACGTCAGGAGAAAATGCCTCTAGAACATGGCCATATAGCCCGAAAAAACCCACAAGAACCTAATTACTATTAACATTCAATGGCTGGCATCCTCTTGGTTGCTCCAACCTAAAATACAACTAGTCAGTTTGTTGTTGAGTAGTAAGAGCATAGTGGGTTAAACCGCTGAGCTGCTGAACTTGCTGACTGAAAGCTCGCCAGTTCAAATCCGAAGAGCAGGGTGAGCTCACACTGTGAGCCCTGGCTTCTGCCAACCTAGCAGTTCAAAAGCATGCAAATTTGAGTAGATCAATAGGTACCACTCTGGCAGGAAGGTAACAGTGCTCAATGCAGTCATGCCAGCCACATGTCCTTGGAGGTGTCTATGGAAAAAGCTGGCTCTTTGGCTTAGAAATTGAGATGAGCACCAACCCCCAGAGTCAGACATGACTGGACTTAATGTCAGGGGAAAACCTTTATCTACCTAGAAAGAGCACATCAGTAAATTTCACTTGCTGAGTGACTGTACTCTAATTTAACAGTAGAATTCAGGCCTCAGTGATTAACCTTTGTAACCATTTTAGCCAAAGTAATATTTCTGGTTTTTAAAATAAGATTTTTAGTTGGAATATTCCTACCCATTATCTGCTACTTGGGAAACATTTGGTAGGTTCAACTCAGGGTTAGGAATCCTGTGGCCCTCCAGTTGTTGCAGGATTATATCAACCAGCATTCTTCATGCTGACTGGGGGCGATAGGACTTGAAATTCAAAAACACCTAGAAGGCTGCATGATTTCTACTGCTACTTTAAGGGATTGAACCAGAGAGCATGCTGAACACAGTAGCCTTTGTTGATCAGCTCTCCAGTAGACTTTGGTGATCAATTCTCCTCCCTGTCGATCTTCCCTGTGTGTGTTCATATTATGTTACGATAGAAATAGAAGTTGGGAACTCCATTTGCCTGTGTGCTACATTTAGGTGAGGTCATGGAGACTTCTTTGAAGAATCATTTGTGAATGTGCTCTTTTAATTTCTCAATAAAAAGTAATATTTATTGTGTGGAGGGATTATTATTATTATTATTATTATTAAAGTAAAGGTAAAGTTTTCCCCTTGACCTTAAGTCTATTCATGTCCAATTCTGGGGTGTGGTGCTCATCTCCATTTCTAAGCTGGAGAGCCGGCATTGTCCATAGACACCTCCAAGGTCATGTGACCAGCATGACTGAATGGAACGCCATTACCTTCCCACCGAAGCAGTATCTATTGAGCTACTCACATTTGCATGTTGTTGAACTGCTAGCTTGGCAGAAGCTGGAGCTAACAGCAGGCACTCACTCCACTCCTCGGAGTTGAACCACTGACCTTTTGGTCAGCAAGCTCAGCAGCTCAGCGGTTTAAGCTGTTGCACAATCAGGGGCTCCTATATTTATTTATATCTCCCCCAAAGGGGACTCAAAGTGAGGATGACTAGCTGTTGATCCAGAAAAACCTGTATTACCTTCCATCTTTCCACATGCTGATTCGGACTTTCAGAGAGAAGCTGACAAAGAACTTTTTTTCTTTCCAAACTCCTTGCCAATACATGTTCAAAACTATGCCTGAATAATTGCTTTTGAGATGGGCTTGGAGCAGCAATAAATCAGCTCTAATGTGTGGGCAGCTTTCAAGCCCATAGAATCTACTCTTTTTTAACTGGTACTTTATTGCTTACACCCCAAATTGTCCTGAATAAGGCAAAATGGTACCTCAGAGTGGCACCTTATGAGCCATATATTAAAGTGTTCTCAAGCCAAGTTATTCCAGTTCGGAGACGATTAATGAGGCAATGTTGTTGTTGCTGCTGCTGTTGTTCATTAGGTATCAGAAAACATTGCTGACCTACAACAGATCACTCAGACTGGATCTACACTGCTCTTTATCCCACAATCTGATTCCAGATTATCCTTTTATCCCAGATTATCTGGCAGTGTAGACTCATGTAATCCTGTTCGAAGCAAATAATCTGAAATCAAATCCTGGGATATTCAGCAGTGTAGATCCAGCCTCAGAGTTCTTGGAGGAGATCCCAGTTTATCCTCCACTTATCCAAGGCTACAGCGTTATCAAAACAATTTTCAAGTGTAATTTTTAGTTCTTTTTCCGTATTTTTAGGTGGACGAAGGAGGGCGGGTACCACTTACCATTCACCATAGTCGAGCCATTGAATCCGATATTGAGCAAGAAGATCTAGTGGTGAAAATCGTGACTTTCCCCAAATACGGATATATTGAAAATACCAAGACAGGTAGGATACCATAGCATACATTCTTGTTCATTATAAAAGCCATATCTACTAGACCAGTCATTCCCTATCTACAGTGGAAATGTGAGTGTGCAATGAAAATAAATAAGAGAAGGCAGTGCTGCAGAATCCAATCTAATATTGGCCTGATGAATCTCTATAAGATTTTGTATTTGAGCCTTGCCTGTTGTTAGTCAGGTCCTTCTAAGGATGAGCTCTAGAATGTCTCCTTATTAGTTTAGGAAAAGAATGAACTGTATCAAGGTATGTTTTGGATCATTCCACTTTCCTCTTCAGGCATGACTATGAGGATAACATTCCAGAACTTTGTTTTTCTTTTTCATCAACCACATTTGTTGTCTGAATTTGGGCAATCTGGTTCACCTTTAACTATAGTTAGTAAATACAAGCCAAATACAAACCATGGTTTATGAAGCTGGTTTTTAAAAAAAAAAAAAAAAAGACATGACCTTTTAGAGATCATAACCTTTTGGAAAACCAGAATCTCCATAACCTTTTGGAGAAAAATGGCATTCAGAACCATTTGAAAATCATAACCTTTTGTAAAAGTATGGTCTTCCAGAGAAGAGTCAAAAGACTTGTTTGAGTAAAATCTTCTCTTCAGTAGTATTTATCCACATGTACTAACGCAAGGCAATTTGGTTTTCAGTTGTTAGACTGATAACCTGGTTGTCTCTGATCTGTTAGGAACAGAGATTATGCCAATTCACAATGTATAGCAGTTCTTCAGAAGTGATCTTTTCAATGCCCAAAAATATCAGCTCTTGTTTCTATATAATGCTCTGAAGAGACAAAAATAAAGTAGACTTTGTTAATATCTGGTTTACTCACAACCTCCATGTATACAGCATACAGGTACATAGCTTGTCAATCTAGTTACAGATAGGTTTTGAAGTAGTTTCTCTGCAGGTAACACAGGGCATCTTTCTTATTTCGTGTCAGGAGCAACTTGAGAAACTGCAAGTTGCATCTGGTGTGAGAGAATTGACCATCTGTAAAGACGTTGCCCAGGAGATGCCCAGATGTTTGATATTTTTGTCATCTGTGTGAAAGGCTTGTTTTATGTCCCTGAATGGGGAGTTGGAGCTGACAGAGGGAGCTCAACTTGGTCTCCCCATATTTGAACTGCTGATCTCTTGGTCAGCAGTCTTGGCGGCACAAGGGTTTAACCCATTGCACCACTTTCTTATAATCAACAGCTACATGAATTTGCTCTTAACAGTCCAAAGTCTAATGGTGTCGCTGCATTAAAATGGAGTCTGTGCTCAGAGCAGTTCCAGATCGGATCATGTGGTCTGCAGCCCCTCCCACAACCTCAAGAAACATAGAGTAAAGGGAAAGCTGCATACCAAAATGTACATATACAATACAGTAAGCAAACAAAATCATATACAAAACAAATTACTAGTGAAGGCTTGAAGAAGGTTGCTATTTCCAACAGGGATTGATCCCACTAATCGTAGTTAGGTTTTGCTTCAGTTATGGTTCAGAAGATCCAATAAATTGTATTCAGAAAGGAGACAAATGTTTCTGATTTCTTGTGTCTGTGCTAGAATTATGGGGGAAAGTAGTGTGAATTTGTTAATGCTCACTAAAGCTCCTTCTCCTCTAATTATGTATCACGGTAGAATATCAGTTCGTCCCAATACAGAGGCTTCAAAATGACTTAACTGGAACATCTTTTCTGAAACTCAGGAACTCCTTCTGTACACAAATCACAATTAAGCTGTAGAATTCAACTTAATACTCATGCCTCTGAGGTGACAGTTACAACTGCTATGATTTAGCAATATTTTTCTGCCTGATGGAGCAGAATATTTCTAAAATATAAAATATATTTTCATATAAACCGTTTTGTTTGTAGGTATACGACTCAGCTCTGGTGGTAGCATGAGCTCGGATATTTCATTCTCTCTCCAAGATGTGCTGAAGAACTATATTTATTACTTTCAAAGTGTCCATGAAAGTATTGAACCATCAATGGACACGTTTAGCTTCTATGTCAGCAATGGCTTCAGCCAATCAGGAACTAGCAGTGTCAACATCACTATTAAGGTAAATGAGTTCACTTGTTTGGTCTAATTCTAACAACCTCTCCCTTTTAAAAAATGTAAAAGTGTGAAATCACATAAATAATGCGTAAGGAAAATTAATATAGTTGCAGATTTATTTTTGTGCTGTTGGTGATATCTTAGACGTAAATGCAATTCCAGAGCAAATGTGGTAATACAATACAATACAGACCATATATCCACTGAGGATGCTGTGACAAAATGTAAATCATGTAGTTCACGTTTGACCAGTCCACACACTGACTTGACAGAGAAAGAAAATATGCCACACAGATGAACAGTAAATAACAAGTTGGTTACTCTTTGTGACTCAGAACACCATATGTACAATTATGTGATCAGTTACATCAACTCATATAATGTCCTTTTCTGAGAGATTTAAAATAGTCTTTCTTTGTCCATGTGGAGAATCTTCCTCAAGCAGCTCATGAAGCAAGAGCACACAACTGTCTTTTTGTCTGTTTCTCTGCTTGCATAGCTCAAGCCTGAAAAATGTAACAGTATCCAAAAGTCCCAGGCTCAGCCATCTTTCTAGGCGTAGCCTGACCAATCAGCTTCATGCATCTTATTTTACAGTTGACACACACACTAACTGATTTCTCACATGCTCCAACCAGGCATGTAGCCGGGTTTTGTAGCCCTCCCAAAATTCTCATGGTGGTCCGCGAGAAGGCCCTACTGGTATATTATTTAAACTGTTATGTTTATTCATATCATGATCTGATCACCATACTCAATATATCCCATATGCATGGGGGTATTGGGGTAACAATACAAAAGGTTTGCTAGGGTAGACCCTCTTTCACTCAGACCCCCCGAATCAAACTCAGCTCCCCCCGAAACAAAATCCTGGCTACGGGCCTGGCTCCAACAGATACATTTATGAATTTAGCTGGATAATAGTGACCATATTGAAATGAAGAAGTTCTTCCAGTAGTTACCATAGAGTCAATTTRGAATCTGATAATATGGCTAATAATATAATAGTATTGCTACTCCTTCTTTTTTTGGTACATTCTAGTCAGCTGCAGAAGTGCATTTTTTCTCATGGTTTCCTTTTGGTTATTGTAGCGCCTGAATGATGAGCCCCCTGAAATGCAGTTGGAGCCCATCAAAGTCCAGGAAAGCAAAGGGGCAGTGATTAGAAATTCCTCCTTGAGGGTGAAGGACTTGGACACTCCTGGTAACCAGCTGATCTTCTTAATAACCAAGAAACCCAGTCATGGTAAGCTGCGTGGTATTTTAAACTGTCACTGGTTAGTAGTGATAATGGCTACCAGTTATAGGTTGAACATCTGAATATCTGAATATTGTCCACATGAATGGCTGAGCTAGTAATACTTTTGCCTTCTGGTGTTCAGTGTACACAAACTTTGTTTCATGCACAACAATTATTAAAGATATTTGTATAATATTACCTTCCAACTCTATGTATATGAAGTGTATATGAAACATAAACTTCACATGTAGACTTGGGTCCTGTCTCTCAGATACCTCATTGAATATATGATTCATTTAGAAATGATCCTTGTTGCAAGCATTTTGATTAAATAGGGGTATAGATCAGTGGTTCTCAGCCTGTGGGTCTCCAGGTGTTTTGGCCTACAACTCCCAGAAATCCCAGCCAGTTTACCAGCTGTTAGGACTTCTGGGGGTTGAAGGCCAAAACATCTGGGGACCAACAGGTTGAGGACCACTGGTCTAGAGCCAGGGAAGTCATGCTACCCCTCTATTCTGCCTTGGTCAGACCACACTTGGAATACTGTGTCCAATTCTGGGCACTGCAATTGAAGGAAGATGTTGACAAGTTGGAATGTGTCCAGAGAAGGGCGACTAAAATGATCAAGGGTCTGGAGAACAAGCCCTATGAGGAGCAGTAGAGAAGGCTGAGAGGAGACATGATGGCCATCAGGGGCGGCTCAACCCATTATGCAAAGTAAGCATTTGCAGTATAGTTGATTTTGCTCAGGGGCACTCTTGAGGCGCCCTTGGGGGAAAATAGACCTTGACATATGCGAGTTGTAGTTACTGGGATGTATAGTTCACCTACAATCAAAGAGTATTCTAAACTCCACCAATTATGGAATTGAACCAAATATAGCACACAGAACTCCCACGACGAACAGAAAATATATGTCAGTGATTGGTTGGGGGGTGGATGCCAAAATACTGTTTGCTTACCGTTGAAAATTACCTAAGGCTGCCTCTGATGGCCATGTATCAAGATGTGAGAGGAAGTAATAGGGAGGAGGCTTGTTTTCTGCTGCCCTGGAGACTAAGACACAGAACAATGGCTTTAAACTACAGGAAAGGGATTCCATCTGAACTTTAGGAAGAACTTCCTAACTGTGAGAGCTGGAACTCTCTGCCCCAGGAATGTGGTGGAGGCTTCTTCTTTGGAGGCTTTTAAACAGAGGCTGGATGGCCATCTGTTGGGGGTGCTTTGAACATGATTTTCCTGCTTCTTAGCAGAATGGGATTGGACTGGATGGTCCATGAGGTCTCTTCCAACTCAATGATTCTATGATTCTATGAATAAGGGATACTCAACTTGTACTAATTTTTCCAAACATGGGTCTTCCCTCATCTTGTGGTAATTCTCCAAAAGCTAATTTGGTGTTTCCTGGTGGAAGGAGAATGGTGGGAAAGGTAAATAAGCAGCCTATCAGGACCTAACTCACAGTATTCTTGTTTTTTAGGTTTTCTCCGCAAGAGACAGTCTTCCTTGAATCCCTTGGGGAATGGAGAAATTCTCTCTGAGGGTTCAACCTTCACATATCAGAATGTCTTAGACGAACTGATAGTTTACACACCAGATAATTACAGAGTTCAATCGGATGAGTTCGGATTTTCACTTTCTGATGGGCGTTACACACAAACTGGGAAAGTGGAGTTTTCAGCAGCATTGCCAAGGACAAAACCACCCAGATTGGTTGTGAACAGGGGCCTGCAACTTCCTGCTGGTACACAGTGAATAACTTGACGCTAACCATTGTGTGTGTGTGTGTGTGTGTGTGTGTGACTTGCTGAGAGAAAAAGTGCAGGTTTGGAGCAAACTTTCTTCATGTACTATCCAAATTTTCTGATTGCACAGTCTCATTCCAAGTATCTCCAGATGACAAGCCTGCAATAGCTTTATGTAACTTTATATAACTAGCCCATAGTTTTATATAGGAATCATCATTTGAGCCCCCGGTGGCACAATGGGTTAAACCCTTGTGCCAGCAGGACTGCTGACCTGTCAGTGGTTCGAATCCATGGAGAGAGGGTTAAGCTCCCTCTGTCAGCTCCAGCTCCTAATGCAGGGACATGAGAGAAGCCTTCTACAAGGATGGTAAAACATCAAACATCCGGGCATCCCCTGGGCAATGTCCTTGCAGATGGCAAATTCTCTCACCAGAAGCAACTTGCAGTTTCTCAACTAGCTTCTGACATTAAAAAAATCACTTGAGAAGGTACTGAGAATTCTTAGATATCCTTCCTAGTTTTGTATCATTAAACTTCAATTCTCAGTGACCATAGGAAGAGGAAATAATTATTCAGTGAGTCTGAAGTCTAATTTTGAGCCAGAACCCAGTAATATTGCTCTTTGGGGTATTGCTCTCAGAATGCTTTAGACAGCATTGCAACTGGCCATGCTCGTTCAGGGATTTTGGCCATTGTTGTTCCAAAATAGTTTTTTTCTGGCTCAGTTGCACCTTATCTTCTTTAAAAAGATATTTCAGGGATGGCAAATGTGCAATGGGGTCTGGTGGTCACATATTCCTTATGTACCATATGCAAAGTCTCCATAGACATTGGAGTTGATAATCCAGATCTAAAAAACACAACCCGTATGTCTATCTCCCAGAGTCTACTTTTGTGGGCTTTGGACTCTTCCCAGACCCCTTTCTGATGACACTTAATTGGGATTTCAAAACAAGGCACATGTATACACATTTACACACAGAATACCTGCCGTTGCCCCTTCCCTATGGGAGAATGACACTGATAATAAGCTTCTAGTGTCTCAAGATAGAACATTCATATCTGGATCTTCAGAGCTTGTCCACCCTGCTATTTATTTATTTATTTATTTATTTATTTATTTGCCATCAAAGGGGACTCATAGCTGCCTTACAAAGGCAACACTTAGATGCCACATATACATACACATATTGATGAATAAACAAAATACATTAAAATCCCAAACAATTAAAACAACATTAAAATATCATTAAAATCACCCAATCCAAATCATACTGCAGGGCCAATCCAAGTTGTCATCATATTATTTTGTAATCTCTTATTGCACTGCTCCAATTTACTGATCAAAAGCTTGGTCCCAAAGCCATATTTTTAGTTTTTTCCTGTAGGTCAGGAAAGAGGGAGCTGATCTAATTTCACTGGGCCACCACTGAGAAGGCCCTGTCTCTCGTCCCCACTAGTCACGCTTGCAAGGAGGGTGGGACTGAGAGCAGGGCCTCCCGCAATGATCTTAGCCTTCGAGGTGGGTCATAGAAGGATATATGTTTGGGCAGGTAAGATGGGCTGGAACTGTTTAGGGTTTTATGAGCTAAAACCAGCACGTTGAATTGTGCTCAGTAGCAGACTGGCAGCCAATGGAGCTCCCTGTACACTGCCCAATTGAGCAATCTGGCTGCCACTGGTTGAACCACTTGAAACTTCTGAATAGTCATCAAAGGCAACCCCACTTAGAGCACATTACAGTAATCTATCCTTGATGTAACAAGAGTGAGGACCACTGTGGCCAAGTCTGACTTCCCAAGGTATGGACACAACTGGCACATAAGTTTTAATTGTGCAAAAACTCCCCTGGCCACCACTGAAACCTGGTGTTCCAGGCTCAGTGATGAGTCCAGGAGAACTCCCAAGCTGTGAACCTGTGTCTTCAGGGGAAGTGTAAACCCATCCAACACAAGCTGTAACCCTAAATCCTGTTTGGCCTTGTGACTGACCAAGAAGACCTCTGTCTTGTCTGGATTCAGTTTCAATTTGTTTGCCCTCAGCCAGACCGTTACAGCTGCCAAGCACCAGTTCAGGACCTGAACAGCCACGTTGGGAACAGGTGAAAAGGACTAACAGAGTTGAATGTCATCTGTGTAGAAATGACACCGAACTCCAAAATTCCAGATGTTTTCTTCCAACGATGTTAAACAATGGGGGACAATACTGAACCCTGCAGGAATTCACAGGACATACACCCTTATACAACACGTTTCTTCCATGATCTGTTCTTTTAACTTATTTTGTTAGTTCCAAATTGTTTCACTCATATCTTGCATTATGGGCAAAATTAAGAAGAAGGAGAAATTTGGAACTTTTTTGTTGTGTCAGGAGCAATTCCTGACATGACAAAAAAAAAAGTTCCAAATTTCTCCTTCTTCTTAATTTTGCCCATAATGCAAGATATGAGTGAAACAGAGCAATTTAGAATAGGAAAATGATAAGCAGTGTGAGTTCTATGTTCCATTCAACTCCTATGACTGTCCTTTAATCAATGTATATGACTCTATGGCTCTATGTCATATTAAATCAAATATTTCCAAAGAGAGAAGGGACTTAGTTCAGTGGCAAATCAAATACAATTCATTCAGAAAGCCCAAATCTCCAGCATCACCAACAAAAGGGATTTTGGAGAGTGAAGCAAGGAGACCCTGGACAGCCCCAAGAAGAGAATTTTATTTGAGCAGAGAAAGCTAGTTGAACCAATGAGTGAATTCAACGTATGACAGATTTCATTTATTTCAGTGTCAATTTCTATTAAGGAAGTGGAGGAGAAGAGATGCAGGAGCAACAGGCAATGAATCTTAGTACTTAGCAGCCTGTAAGGTTCTAAGAAATGCTTACCAGTATTTACAACATCCATCCTTCTTGTGGAAGCTCTTCATTCAAATGGCACATCTTGCCCTATAAACATCACACCCTTATTTATTTGAACTTCTGATTTTTTTTTTATCTTTGTCTGTTTTGGACAAATAAAGCGGGTTTTTTTTCCATGTCAGGAAGGACTTGAGAAATTACAAGTTGCTTCTGGTGTGAGAGAATTGGCCATCTGCAAGAACGTTGCCCAGGGGATGCCCAGATGTTTTTGATGTTTTACTGGCCTGTGAGAGGCTTCTCTCATGTCCCCACATGGGGAGCTGGAGCTGACAGAGGGAGCTCATCCGCACTCTTCCCGGATTCAAATCTTCGAGCTGTCGGTCTTCAGTCCTGCCGGCACAAGAGTTCAACCCATTGCACCACCGGGGGCTCCTAAAGTGGTTTTGTGTAACTTTGCCCATTTTTCTGAGGACAGCTCAGCAAAAAGATGGAGTAGGTTTGTGATTGTCATCCCCCATTTTATTTTTATTTTACTATTTAGGCTCTGTAGCTGTTATTACCGACCAGCACCTGAAAGCCACAGATTCTGACTCAGATGACTTGACGATCAGATACGTCATGAAAAAGGATCCCATTCTTGGTGTTCTGCACATGCATAAAAGGGATTCCCAGGTTCAGATCTCTGTCAAGGGGCCAGTCATAAGTTTCTCACAGGCTGATATAAATAAAGGTAAGCAAAACATAATATGTCTAGTAAAACAGTATTGATACTTGATTGTCATTCTGGAGTTGGATTGAGTCACACAAGTGTGCTCAGATGAGTCTTCCATTGTCAGATTCTACTTTTGGACAAAAGGTGGGAAAGAAGAAAATGGGGATTGTTATCAGCTCTACTGAAAAACATTCTGCTTATGTTTTTTGTTTTGTTTTCTCCTCCTTCTCCACTTTTCCTTTTGTGCTGTACAGTTCTAAAGATTGTTCACTTATAGCTAGAAACTATCCACTCATTTTTAGTTATTCATAAATTAGGTTGCTGTGAGTTTTCCGGACTGTATGGCCATGTTCCAGAAACTTTCTCTCCTGACGTTTCGCCTGCATCTATGGCAGGCATCCTCAGAGGTTGCGAGGTCTGTTGGAAACTAGGAAAGTGGGGTTTATATATCTATGGAATGCTCAATGTGGAAGAAAGACCTCTTGTCTGCTTGTGGCAAGTGTGAATGTTGTAATTGGCCAGCTTGATTAGCATTGAATAGCCTTGCAGTTTCAAAGCCTGGCTGATTCCTGCCTGGGGAAATCCTTTGTTGGGAGGTGTTATCTGTCCCTGATTGTTTCCTGCCTGGAATTCCCTTGTTTTTTAGTGTTATTCTGGCTGCTTCCTGTTGGACCACTCTAACACTCACTATGTCAGACTACACAGAGAAGCCACTGAAATCCACAAACATGTGGACAATTTCAACAGAAAGGCAGAAACAATGAAAACGAACAAAATGTGGCTACCAGTATTTAAAAACTCTAAAGTCAGAACAGTAAATAAAGACCAACATTCACAAAACAGGGGAATTCCAGTCAACAAAGAATCAGAGTCAGTTAATACCTCCCAACAAAGGATTCCGCCAGGCAGAAAGCATCCAGGTTTTGAAGCTGCAAGATTATTCAGTGCCAATCAAGGTGATCAATTACAACATTCTTCCTTCCACCTGGACATTCCATAACTATATAAACCCCACTTACCTAGTTTCCAACAGACCTCACAACCTTTGAGGATGCCTGCCATAAATGTAGGTGAAACATCAGGAGAGAAGGCTTCTGGAACATGGCCACACAGCCTGGAAAACTCACAGCAACCCAGTGATTCCGGCCATGAAGGCCTTCTACAACACATTGATACCTGAATTATTATGAGATCATTTCCAGATGTGGACAGGGCTATAAATATTATAGATAAATAACACCAAGGATGTTTCGATCCTATAATTCTTATCCATATATGGATGACTATTTTTGTATGAAGAAGCATTCAGTTCTGTGAACTTTCACTTACAGTTTGAAGATGGGTTTTCCTTTTCAGTGAGAACTTGTTTGCAGACTTTAGAATATCTAGTAATCAAAGTAAATTGTGGAATGTGTTGTCAAAGGCTTTCATGGTCAGAATCATTGGGTTGCTGTGAGTTTTTCAGGCTGTATGGCCATGTTCCAACAGCCTTTTCTCCTGAAATTTCACCTCCATCTGTGGCTGGCATGTTCAGAGATTCAGAATCCAGTAAATTGTGGATTCTTCAATGGGTGTATTTCCTCTTTCCTTTCTGCCTTGCATTACAGGAATGATTGAGTACAGCCACCAAAAGGGGCAACATGGTGGGACAGTTGCTTTCATTTTTGATCTATCAGATGCCGAAGGAAATAAAGTGGTGGACCAGGCATTTCCAATCAGCATAATAGGTAAGGCAAACACAATACAGTGCAAATCCTAGTACAATAGTAAAACTTATTTAGCTTATAGAATCATAGAGTTGGAAGAGACCTCATGGGGCATCCAGTCTAACCCCATTCTGCCAAGAAGCAGCAAAATTGCATTCAAAGCACCCCCAGCAGATGGCCATCTACCCTCTATTTAAATATATCCAAAGAAGGAGCTTATGCCACACTCAAGGGCAGAGAGTTCCACTGCTGAACAGCTCTCACACTCAGGAAGTTCTTCCTCATGTTTAAGTGGAATCTCCTTTCCTGTAGTTTGAAGCATTCTAGTCTCCAAGGCAGCAGAAATCAAGCTTGCTCTCCCCTCCCTATGACTTCCCCTGACATATTTATACATGGCCCTCATCATGTCTCCTCTCAGCCTTCTCTTCTACAGGCTAAACATGCCCAGCTCTTTAAGCCACTCCTCATAGGGCTTGTTCTCCAGACCCTTGGTCTTTTGAGTCACCCTCCTCTGGACATATTCCAGCTTGCCAACATTTCCCTTCAATTGTGGTGTCCAGAATAGGACACAGTGTGATTCCAGATGTGGTCTGATCAAGGCAGAATAGAGGGAAAGCTGGATCTAGACACTATACTCTTATTTCTGCAGGCCAAAATCCCATTGGCTTTTTTGCCGCCGCATGACATTGTTGGCTCATGTTTAACTTGTTGTCCACAAGGACTCCAAGATCTTTTTCACATGAATGGCTGTCAAGCCAGGCGTACGTGTGAAAAATATCTTGGAGTCCTTGTCAAGTTAAACAGATAAGAACTAGAGGGAAAAACTAAGATAGAGACCACTGGGAAGGCAATATCTCAACAAAAACAACAACTAGCCAACAAAAGTTTACTAGAATAGAAATGTTTTTACCAAAGGAGGAAAGATATTTAGAATGGGGGCCTCTCAAATCTCATATTGATGCAGCTGTAGAGAAGGGTCTGTCTCTTGTCACCATCAGCCATGTCTCCAACCAAAGTGGGACACAGAAAATAACTTTCAATTTAATTGGCTCAGAGTTTTTTGATCAGGTGAGAGACAGCTTTGCTTAGATTATATGTACGAAAGAGAGTAAAGAGAGGTGAAAGCAAGCTGCTTGTCTCATCCTTTTTTTTATCCATGATGCTTCCTAGAGGATCGGCTCCCTCCATCTGTCACTGTCAACACTGGACTGACCCTGGATGAAAACTCAGTCAAGAAGATCACTACCCTTGAGTTGTCAGCCACGGATCAAGACAGCGAGCCAAGTGATCTGGTGTACAGGATCACCAAACAGCCCCAACTGGGACACCTGGAGCACACAGCATCCCCAGGTTTGCAAACGTTTGCTTTTTAGGGGACCAAAGTAAAGGATGAAACTCATGGGGACATTAAGCAATTCTTTGTACACTTCTGGAGCATGCAAGCACACTAAATTTTAATCTAGTGCTATCTGTTTCTGTGTTGGAAAAGAAATTCACTATTGACTAAGTTTTGTTAACAGATTTTTCCAAATATGGAGTGCATCTCCATTGCAGAATTAATGCAGCTTGACCCTGCTCTAACTGGCATGACTCAATACAATATAATTAGGGGAATTGTCTTTTTTAAAGTCTTCTGTGCCAGGGAGTGCTGGTGCCTTACCAAACTACAACTCCCAGGATTTCATTGTATTGAATCATGGCAGTAAAAGTGGTGTTACTGCATTAATTAATTAAAATTATTAAGTCCTATTATATAAAGAAATTCTGCCCTTTATACAAAATGGCAAAAATTAAAGCTTCCTTTTTGGATTTTTAAAAATAATTTCAAGCCATGGATGTTTAAATCCATGGATTACTTAGGCAATCCCTCGTAGCCCAAGGATGATGATCCTCCAAGTGTAGTGCCTTGGCGGTGGGTCTGTAGGTGGCTTTGGAGCCCTATTCTTGATCTGCATGTTCTCCCACAGTGAGGACATCAGTTTCCAGGTGGAAGGCGGTCCCGGTCAGGGTTGGCTTGACACGTTTATCCCTTTTGTCCTCCATTCATGCCTCTTTGAATTCTGCAGCACTGCTGGTCACAGCTGACCTCCAGGTAGAGCACTCAAGGGCCAGGGCTTCCCAGATCTCAGTGTCTATGCCACAGTTTTTAAGGTTGGCTTTAAGCCCTTCTTTAACTCTCTTTTCCTGTCCACCAACATTACGTTTCTCGTTCTTGAGTTGGGAGTATAGTAACTGCTTTGGGAGACTGTGATTGTGCATTAGGACCATGTGGCCAGTCTAGTGGAATTGATGGCATAGAAGCATCGCTTCACTGCTGATGGTCTTTGGTTCTTCCAGCATGCTGATATTTGTCTGCCTGTCTTCCCAAGAGATTTGCAAGAATTTTCAGAGGCAATGCCAATGGAATCATTCCAGGAGTTGAGTGTGACGTCTGTAGACAGTCCACGTTTTGCAGGTGTATAGCAGGGTTGGGAGGACAATAACTTTATAAACAAGCACCTTGCTCTCCCTACTGATGTCCCGATACTCAAACACTCTCTGTTTCATTTGGAAAATTCTTCCCTCACAGAGCTCAAGTGGTATTGTATTTCAGTGTTGCTTTTGACTTTTGTGCAGAGGTGGCTACCATGGTAGTGGAAATGGTCAACATTTTCTAACATTACACCATTAAGCTGTATTTCTGGCATTGCAGAGGGGTTGGCTAGTGACTGCTGGAAAAGCACTTTGGTGTTATCGATGTTCAATGAGAGGCCGAGCTTCTTGTATGCTTCTGCAAAGGTGTTTAGAGTGGCTTGTAGGTTTTCTTCTGAATGTGCACAGACTACATTATCATCAGCATATTGGAGTGCTGTAACATGTTGTTGTGACCTTGGTTTTGGCTTTCAGTCTGCTGAGGTTAAATAGCTTGCCGATAGATAATTTCCACTGCGGTGGGAAACTTCCCATCAACAAGTTGAAGTATCAGAGCAAAGAAGATGGAAAGTAAGGTTCCATGGATACCGACTCAATGGATATGAAAGACCAACGGTATACATTTAAAATTATTTCTACAGTTGGTAAAAGTACTGAAATAGTCACCAGAATGCGTTTTTAAAATGCCTGCTGTTTGATAAATGGTTGCAGACCAAGAAAAACCGGGAATGATTGGCATTGCTTTTATGTCTGCTCCAGCAGAAGCAGAGTGTAGCAGGTAACTAGCAGTGAAAGAAGCACATTTTCAGAAGCGGTGAACCATTCCCCTGACCCTTGACTGTACACACTTGGTTTCTCCAGCCATTTTTCTCCATTACTGGCTTCAGTAGCAGAAAATAAATGATCCAGGAATGGAGAAAGTGACAGAGGGGGGAGTTGCACATGGATCAGTCGGGTGCAGCATGGACAAAGAACCTTCAGGCCAAAGAGAGGCCTGGGAATACAATCCCTAATATGTGATGCTCTTAGATCATGTAAAAGCAAGTGTCAGCTGAACAATGGTCTGAATCGGAGGCTGACTGGAAGCCCCCTGAGGCTCCTCAAAGAAATGTTGGAGAAGAATTGGCTGTTGTGACCATTTTAAGTACACTCCCCTATGAGTGAGACAAATTGAACTCGGTGGGAATTACTAGGAAATAAATGTGCATAGGCTTCTACTGCAAGTAAACATTCCCTTTAGTTGCACCAAAACAGGATCACTGAAAAACAAGAGGGTGAGACATCTCTGTGCTATAGGAAACTTCAGATGGGCAGAACTAAATAAATCCAAATTTAAAGGAGTTTTTGGAGGGGAGAGATTTGGGGGCTAGTGCCATGAGACCCCCCCCCCCAAAATAAAATAAAATAAACAGAACAGAACAGAATACACTAGAGAAGACTTACTGCCAAAAGTAAAAAAAAAACCCACAAGGACTTCTCATATATCATTTTTTATCAGGGTGTGTCTTCCTTGTGGATTTGAGCTTTGTTAGGATTATGGTTTTTTAATGTCCCCTACAGTTTCCCTGGTAGCGCAGCACGTTAAACTGCTGAGTTACTGAACTTGCTGACCAAAAGGTTGGTGGTTCAAATCTGGGGAGCAAGGTCAGCTTCTCCTGTTAGGCCCATCTTCTGCCACCCTAGCAGTTTGAAAACATGCAAATGTGAGTAGATCAATAGGTACCACTATGCGGGAAGGTAATGGTGCTCCATGCAGTCATGCTGGCCACATGATCTTGGAGGTGTCTATGGACAATGCTGGCTCTTTGGCTTAGAATGGAGATTCCCCCCAGGATCGGACACGACTAGACTTAATGTCAGAGGAAATCTTCACCTTTACTTGCAGCTTCATTCCTGTCTTTCTCGGGTCTTTCTCAAGTGTCAGAATCAAGTGGAGAGATTATCACCAACTTATTCTCCCCATTTACATACCCTCAAAGCCTACCTTTGACTCAGGAATAAGTCTCCTTCTTAGCTGCTTTCTTCCAGAAAGGGCACAAGAGCAAACTATGCACATTTTCCAGAAGCTCTATGCCTCTGCTTCAAGATTTAGGTCTTTCTGGGGTAGGTGCCATGACACCATCACAGGTCAACCAAGCTGTGGGTTCCCTGCGACAGCATACCTCGTCCTGGCCAAGTGTTAGCTGGCAAGTCAACTTGGCTGTGTCACTGATATATGGCCAACGTGGCCATCCCTGATATCTGGCTAGATGCAGGTGACACCTTGCTCTCAGCCTAGTTTTGAGTGACATAAAGCAGACTGATACCTATTTTGAAGGCAAGTTTTCTGAGTATGTCAACTCTTTTCTTTCCTTGCTTTTTTTTCTGTAGGCAGGAGGATAAGCTCTTTCAGACAAGCAGACCTGGTCTCCCGCAGCATTCATTACATCCACACCAGTGAAGCTGAGAAACACTCTGATGCATTCATCTTCTCTGTTTCTGATGGCACGCATGAGGTGAATGATCTTCACTATGTTTTTGACAACTGCTTTGACATTTGTTTTGTTTTAATTTTTCCTCTGGAGTTGGTCTTTCACCTTCGTGGGTTTGACTTTTGCCAATTTGATTGTTTAGATTTAATTAATGATATGTTTTAGGAATCTCTAGGGCAGCGTTTCTGAACCTGGGGGTCATGACCCCTGGAAGGGGTTACGAGAGGGGGTGTCAGAGGGGTCACCAAAGACCATCAGAAAACACAGTATTTTCTGGGTTGTTGTAGGTTTTTTCGGGCTATATGGCCATGTTCTAAAGGCATTCTCTCCTCACGTTTCGCCTGTATCTATGGCAAGCATCCTCAGAGGTAGTGAGGTCATAGATGCATAGACTACCTCTGAGGATGCTTGCCATAGATGCAGGTGAAACGTCAGGAGAGAATGCCTTTAGAACATGGCCATGTAGCCCGAAAAAACCTACAACAACCCAGTGATTCCGGCCATGAAAGCCTTCGACAATGCAGTATTTTCTGTTCCGTGTGGGAAGTTTGGCCCAATTCTATCATTGGTGGGGTTCAGAATGCTCGTTGATTGTAGGTGAACTATAAATTCCAGCAACTACAACTCCCAAATGTCAAGGTCTATTTTCTCCAAACTCCTCCAGTGTTCATATTTGGGCATATGGAGTATGTGTGCAAAGTTTGGTCCAAATCCATCATTGTTTGCGTCCACAGTGTTCTCTGGATGCAGGAGAACTACTACCCAAAAACTCAAGGTCATTGTCCATCAAACCTTTCCAGTATATTCTGTTGGTCATGGGAGTTCTGTGTGCCAAGTTTGGTTCAATTCCATCATTGCTGGAGTTCGGAATGCTCTTTGATTGTAGGTGAACTATCAATTCCAGCAAGTACAATTCCCAAACGACAAAATATATCACCACCACTCCCACCAGTTTTCAAATTTGGGCATATTGGGTATTTGTGACAAATTTGGTCAAGTGAATGAAAATACATCCTGCCTATCAGATATTTACATTATGATTCATAACAGTAGCAAAATTACAGTTGTGAAGTAGCAACAAAAATAATTTTATGGTTGAAGGTCACCACAACATGAGGAACTGTATTATTGGGTCGTGGCATTAGAAAGATTGAGAACCACTGCTCTAAGTCCTCCAGTGCAACTAGATAATGGAAGTCAGCCACAGAGGTACACTGGATGCTCTCAGGTTTTAAAAGGTGTATTTACTAGTGTTTATTCCACTTTTATGGGGTTCCTGTGCCTGTAATTCCTGCAAATGTGGACATCTGATTGTATTTCTTTCCCAACACAGGTGAGTCAGAATTTTGACATCACCATTAACTCGATAGATGACTCCTTACCTGTGGTGCTGATCCCTGGGATGAAAGTTCAAGAAGGAGTGAGGAAAACCATCACTGAATTTGAGCTTAAAGCCACAGACGCTGACACAGAGGTAAAGAAAAAAAAAAAGAGGCATTTCTGTGTTGTGTCTATGTGAAGTGCTACAGTGGAGTTGGCAATCTTTTTCTCTGTTTGAGTCTGAATTCTTCAGGCAAACAATGCAAAATGCATAGCTGATCACCACTCTGAAGCCCTTGTTCAGCCTGTCTTTGATCTTCCTCTGCCATCTTCACATAAGAAAAGCAAAGGAGGAGCAAAACCTTCCAAAACATGACTCACAAAAGAGAAATATTCAGTGCTTCAGTCATAATGGAATTACAGAGTGGAATTTCAATTTAGTGCCAAAGATAAGCCCCCCATGATACTACCCAGTGTGTATACTTCCAGGTGGGCCTTTTTCTTCTCCCATGATCTAAGGCAGTGATCTAAGCCTCTAGTCATGCCTTGTTTTGAAAAAGTTCTGCATGGATCTAAGAAAGAAAATGCAATGAAATACTCCATAGTGGTTCCTGAAAGCTTCAGGAGTGCTGTTGGCCAATTTGGGGCACAATTTGTAGGGAGGTGCTAAAACAGTGATGCGGGTTGCAGACAAGCATGGGTCAAACTTCTGTCTACATAGAATAAAAAAGAAATAATCGTCATTATATTCTGAGATTTCACATTGTTTTCATTTTCTGGAGACGTAAAGAACAGAGATCGAAGAAGGGTAGACCCAACAGAGTTCATTCTGTGCTTACAGAATGCAATGAGAGAAGTAACTTCCTTTCAAGCTGCTCTTGAGGTTTTCAGAAATGTATGAGTCATATCCCATTCTGTCCTGAATTTCTTTTGTTTTCTTCACATCTTCCCTTCTGATCACAGGCCAAATCTCTCACCTTCACCATTGTACAACCTCCTCGTCATGGTTTGATTGAACGTACCACTGATGGACACCGTTATCACCAAATTAATGCCTTCACAATGGAGGACATCTTCCAGAACCGAATCAGTTATAGTCATGATGGAAGCAATTCCTTAGAGGATCGCTTTACCTTCACTGTGTCTGATGGAACAAATCCCTTTTTTGTTGTGGAAGAAGATGGTAAAGAGGTAAATGAAGATGTAGTGTGTAACGCATTGGCCTACCCTGAAGGGTTGTTGTATAAAGGGTTGGTGTGCATAAGGGTTGGTAATAGACAGAAGCCAGGCCCAGCTTGCTGAAGCTAAGCACAGCTTAGGGGTGGAGCAATCCTGCTATCTCTAAGGCAGAAGCACAGTCTTATTGGCTGAAAGAAATTGGAGGGAAAAGCTCAGTAGCTATAGATGGGCAGAGCCAGAGCCAAAGGAAGGAGACAGCAGCCATTTTAAGATCAGTTAGGAGACTGGAATGGAAAAAGAAGGAAATAGGGAATTGGTGGCGAAGAAGGAGGAGCTAGGAATCTGAAGGGAAGGAAGAGATTTGGGAACTGTTTTGGGTTATAGGAAAGAAATCTCTTCGAGGAATAGTAGTTATGAGGCCTCTATAGTGTTTAGAGTGCTGTGAAGGAAGGAAGGGGAATTTTTTAAAGATTTTAAAAGATTTTTGTTCGAATTTCTATGTATGGAACTTTGTTTAAAGAAACTCAAGAAATTAAGTACCATCCTCTGTATTGAAGAAAGTCTGACAAGTAACCGCAACCATTATGCTTATTGGTTGTTCTAAATAAACAACATTTTCCTGCTTTATTCCAACTGAAGTCTCTGTGTGGCTTATGAACATCCCAGTAATGGAGGTGGCCTAATGAAATCATAAATTGATGGCAGTGAAAATAATCTTTAATCAATATTTGGAAGGAGCGAAGTGGAGATTTCCCACTGACTAGCTTTCTGTGAGTGAGGGTGTGTGTGTGCACTGGTTCCCTCACGGCCTTTCATTAGGCCAAGCCTTGTTGTTTGCCTTTTGTCCTTCATCTTGTGTGTGAGTGTGCCTGAGGCAAATTCTGCCTACTGTCCTCCATTGTTTGTCCTAAATGGGAGCACTTGGTTATAATTGGTGGCACTTGGTGGGATATCCCAGATTGTTGGGACATACCTTCGCTATATTTGGTGCAAAGCAGTGGGATATCACTAAATATGTGGCTATCTATCGCTATATGGTTATGGCTTCGAATGGCTGCCAGGTTGTAAACCGCCTTGAGTCACCTTCAGGGTTGAGAAAGGTGGGATAGAAATATCATAAATAAATATATTTGGTGGCAGCAGTGGGATACTGCAAATAGGTGGCTATCTCATAATCTCTGAGGATCTCTGCCATAGATGTAGGTGAAACATCAGGAGAGAATGCTTCTAGAACATGGCCATATACCTGAAAAACCTACATCAACCCAGGTGGCTATCTATTTCTATGCAGTAGTAGGCTGTAGATTGCACTCCCATACCAGCCTTTACTTGTAATAGAAGTTTATGATGTAATGATCCTCTGATGGAGTCTTGGTGTAGGCAAGACCTTTACTTGCCTACAGGCATTTTCCCAATTTCAAATGGTTACTTGTCTATAGAACAACACACAATATGGATAGGGTACAGGTACAAGACCTTGTCACAACCTGATGCCAACTCTGTCCACACATTTAGATAGATCTCTCCAAAAAGGAAACTGTGTCAAATCTTTAATGCTGTGACTAAATTATTATTATACAAATGTGATCGCACAAGGTGTGGAAATAAATGCTTCATTTCTCTTTTCAGATTGTGACTGCTGTGCCCCAGTGGTTCAGGGTGGAAATTCTTCCTGTGGATGATGGGACTCCAAGAATTGTCACAAACTTGGGACTCCAATGGTTGGAGTACATGGATGGCAAGGTAGGCTTTTGCTGTTTGTTTTCAAGTCACTTGGTTCTTTTTTGTGATGTCCACTAAGAGTAGGAAGAAATGACTGGCTAACAAGCAATTATGAATGAAGAAGAAACAATGAAATCAATGAAAGGCATATTAGATCTAACAGGAGAGGTGAAGAGATCTCATAGACTTCCTGATTTTTCTTCCTTCAGTCACCTACCAAGTAGTAATTAGGTCACTTGGCAGTCACTGGGCAGATTTTGCCATCTGTTCTGAGACTGCTTCATGCTCCTTGTGTTGTTGTTGTTGTTGTTGTGTATCTTCAAGTTATTTCCAGGTTGTGGTGCCTTTAAAGTGAACATATTGCTTTCTCACAAACTTTGTTCAGTTTTTCTCTGAGGTTGAGACTGCTATCACTCAGTGGATTTCCATGGGTGAGTGGTAATTTGCTCCGTCCATACAACTGCACCGCATCAGCTTCTGATGATACTTGTAGGAATGATATGCCAGGGATAAGCATTGTACAGGCCTCCAAATGTTTGTTGTTGTTCATTCGTTCAGTCATCTCCGACTCTTCGTGACTTCATGGACCAGTCCACGCCAGAGCTCCCTGTTCGTGATCACCCCCAGCTCCTTCAAGGTCAATCCAGTCACTTCAAGGATCCCATCCATCCATCTTGCCCTTGGTCGGCTCCTCTTCCTTTTTCCTTCCATTTCCTCCAGCATCATTCTCTTCTCTAAGCTTTCCTTTCTTCTCATGATGTGGCCAAAGTACTTCATCTTGGCCTCTACTATTCTTCCCTCCAATGAGCAGTCAGGCTTTATTTCTTGAAGTATGGACTGGTTGGATCTTCTCGCTGTCCAAGGCACTCTCAGCACTTTCCTCCAAATGTTGGTAGACTTCAATGTCCATTAGTTCCAGCTACATGGTTCGATAGTGAGGAATGTTACAACCAAATGCAACCAACACTTGGAGACTTAATTTCTGTTGCATGGTGCATTAATTAAAGGGAGACATTTAATTCCTTCTGCTATTATACTTGTTCCTTCTTGTACAGATCCCAGGCAGATAACGTTGGACCCCAGATGTGCCAAAAATGCCAATCTTTTTTATAGCAAAATGTCCTGATGAACTGCTTCACTTTAAAATTCACCACAACATCTCAGATCCTTTTAAATTATAGACCTGGGCCAACATTCATGGGATTGATGCTTCTAGTAGTGGAGCAGGTCATGTCTTCATGGGATGTGTAAATACTTTGCCAGTAGCTCTGGTGCACAACACACCTGGTTCACCAGATCCCCTGGGGCATGACATTTATAAACCTTGCAGTGTGGTAATAACTGGAGAATGTTGGGCCTGAAGCTAGACTGTGCTAAACAAAAAACATAGTGGTTCCAGGCAGGATGATGGATGGAGTAGACCTCTGTTGCTTGTTACATTGGCAGCCGTGGCTAAACTAAGCCATCCATCTTTAAGTGTATCACTGTGGACTCTGATAGCACTACTCCCTCCCTCTCTCGCCCTATAGACCAGCACACTTTTATGTCTTATTCTGCTGATATTGGCTTTTTCATTCCTAAAATGAGAAGCATTTGTTGATTAATTGCTGCAATTAATCAAATCATTCTTCCCTCACCAGTGGAGAGCTACAGAAATGAAACCAGATTTTCATGCGGAGCTGTTCTCTTTGAACAGGTGTTGATGAAGATGTATACACAGACCCATGTACATGGTTGGCCTTTTGAAACTCCTGGGTATAAATGACCTTTGGGACATTTACCAAGAGCTTGCAAGAGTTACTTTTTTGTACTATGGTTCCCAGAATTGGCTTTCAGTATGGGAATTGTACACCAAAAATTAGTCTCACAGAAAATGAACTTTTCAAACTTATGCATTTACCAAATTCACTTTTGAGAGTGACAGTTGGTGGCTTCTGTGTCCGTGAAGCAGTGGTTTAGCTCAGGACTTTAGTTAGAACAGGTTATCCAAGATGCTGAATCTGCATCATGTTACAGTAAGTCGTAACAGGATCTAGTACAGTGTTTCTCAACCTTCCTAATACCACGACCCCTTAATACTGTTCCTCATGTTGTGGTGACCCCCAACCATAGCATTTTCGTTGCTACTTCATAACTGTAATTTTGCTACTGTTATAAATTCTAATGTAAATATCTGATATGCAGGATGTATTTTCATACACTGGACCAAGTTTGGCACAAATACCCAATACGCCCAAATTTGAATACTGGTGGGGTTGAGGGAGATTGTTTTTATCATTTGTAAGTTGTAGTTGCTGGGATATATTAGGGTTCACCTAAAATCAAAGAGCTTTATTAACTCCACCAATGATGGAATTGAATCAAACTTGGCACACAGAACTCCATGACCAACAGAAAAGACTGGAAGGGTTTGGTGGGCATAGACCTTGAGTTTTGGAGTTGTAGTTCACCTATACCCAGAGAGCACTGTGGACTCAAACAATGATGGATCTGGACCAAACTTAGCATGAATACTCAATATGCCCAAATGTGAAAACTGGTGGAGATTGGGGGAAATAAACCTTGACATTTGGTAGTTGTAGTTGCTTGGATTTATAGCTCACCTACAATCAGAGAGCATTCTGAACCTCACCAATGATAGAATTGGGCCAAACATTCCACACACAACCCCCATGACCAACAGAAAATACTGTGTTTTCTGATGGTCTTTGGTGACCCCTCTGAGAGCCCCTCACGACCCCCTCAGGGGTCCCGACCCCCAGGTTGAGAACCACTGATCTAGTATGTGTGTGTGTGTTAAAGAAAACCTTGTGCTGTTAGTTATTATGTGCAGCTGCTACTGTAGGTCAACTAGTAAGTTTGGACCACACCCGGTGGGGTATAACTGTATGATTTTTAGAGCATTTAGAAATGCTCTGAGGAGCATTTGTTCAGGCGTTTTGCTCAGCCATTTCTACTGCTCTTTCATTTGGATGAAGATGAAGAAGCCTTATTCTGCATTGCTTACAAAGACTATGTAAGTTTGTTGCACTGTTTATGTTTTAACTCTGCTAATAAGGGTAAAGTTTTCCTGTTCTTTTTCCTCTTGCCTGGGTGCAGTGTTATTGTATCTTCTGCATTGGACTTGACTGAAATACGCTTAGTGCAACACACCAGATAATAGATTCAACAGTTTGGATACTTACATTAAATGTCCTTTGGTAGTTGATTAAATGTCCTTTGACCAGTATCTGGCCACTTGGAGTGCTTCTGGTGTTGCTAAAAGGAGGTCCTCAATTGTGCATGTAGCAGGGCTCAGGTTGCATTGCAGCAGGTGGTCTGTAGTTTGCTCTTCTCCACCCTCGCATGTTGTGGATTTCACTTTGTAGCCCAATTTCTTAAGATTGGCTCTGCATCTTGTGGTGCCAGAGTGCAGTCTGTTCAGTGCCTTCCAAGTCGCCCAGTCTTCTGTATGCCCAGGGGGGAGTCTTTCATTTGGTATCAACCATTGGTTGAGGTTCTGGGTTTGAGCCTGCCACTTTTGGACTCCCGCTTGCTGAGGTGTTCCAGCGAGTGTCTCTGTAGATCTTAGAAAACTATTTCTTGATTTAAGTTGTTGACATGCTGGCTGATCCCCAAACAGGGGATGAGCTGGAGATGTCACTGCTTTGGTCCTTTCACTATTGGCTGCTACTTCCTGGCGGATGTCAGGTGGTGCACTACCGGCACTAACTAAAACCTCAGAATTCCATGGGATACAGTCATGGCAGTTCAAGTGGAATAATAGAGCCATAACAATGCAGTGTGATAATGCTTTTAGATCCATGAGTATCTGTATCATAGCTTTAATCACCAGTTTCGTATTTTTACTCTAGCCAAAAAATCTGATCACTAAGAAGGAGCTGTTGACTATGGATCCTGATACAGATGACAAACATTTGGTCTATGAGATAACCATGAAACCAAAACAAGGCTATGTGGAAAAGAAGTTGAAGCCAGGAGTTCCAGTGATTACATTTACCCAAGGTAGGCAGCGGAACAACAAATCTGTCCATTTTTTTTGTACTATACTATATTTCTTAGTTACGCTCCTTTGTTGTTGTTGGCAATTAATATGGGGTGGGCTTGATAACACTGTGCTTCATTAGGATTTGCTTCATTTATTTTTCCTACATTTTCTTTCTGTCATCATGACAACGGAGCAGAGCTTTTTAGAAATTCTCTTTGAGGACTGCACCACTTCCAGACTCCTAGCCAACAGGGCACTACAAGTGGTCCATTGGTAAAACTGACAATTTTATTTCCAATAAATTGTGTAATAATCCCTAATATGGATTCTTTTGTAGTTACCTTATACTAAGTTAATATTTTCACTATATTATCATTTCTTTTCCGTTCAAACCCTATCAGTATAGATGCCATTTTGGGATCTTTTGCCTCAGTGTGGATTACTTTACATGTTGTACTCCAGGCCTGGAAACACCTATGACCACTGCACCACACAAGAGTACAGGAATATAAGGAAACGGTTTATTGTAAAAAAAAAAACACTTAAAAAGCGTATAAAAATCAGGAATAGGAAAGGAAAATATATAATCCAAAAAGGTTTAACAACAGGTGATAACCAAATAGTAATCCAAATGTCTCATAAAGTTCTCGAGGTGACAAAGTCCAGGAACAAGCAGAAATCACAGGTACAGCATAAATCCACATGCAAGAAGGTATAACTAGTAAAAACTTGAGCAGGAATACATGAACCGGAACATAGAAAACATCCAGGATATAGTAAATCCAAAACCAAGGCTTGACTTGAACCAAGAACCAGAGAATTCAGGCTTAGCTTCTCACTTAAGGCCTGAATTGATCTTAGGGTAAACAACTTACTATTTATTAGACACACATGAAATCATTCAGTTTCCCATGAATTTTCTCCACATTCTTTCCCACGTAATCTCTCTGAATGACATAATCTATTTTCTGCTCTGATCTGTAAACAAAGTCTTTTGTTCATCTCCGTAGCTACAGGTGGTTTCTCCTGAGAACCTCCTTATCACTCAGCTCTTCACTCAATTCTTTATCTGCTGTTGCTACTTCTGACTCATCTGACTGCCCTTGAGGCTCTGCACTTTCCGTGCCATTTTTCTCACCAAGAGAACCATTATTTCCCAGATTTGTTTTTTCCCAGACTTGAGGGCCCGACATTTTGTGCCGCAGGAAAGCTCAGAATCCTCTCTAAATCATCAGTTAAACAATCAACCTCTGGCTGATCTACAGCATTACATATCTTCACTCTCACAGGCTGTGCTTTCATGGAATCATTTCCAAGCAACCTCAATTGGGTTTTTTTTTATCATTCTGCTTGTTTGTGTAAGATTTTGCCTTAATTATAAACCAAATCCAGAAAATAGTAGAGCATGTACTTGGATACGAAAATGGTAAATTCTTGGATTAAAATAACTGAATGATGTCTTCCCAACAGAGGATGTGAATTTGGGATTAATCCAGTATGTGTTACATGAGGAGAGAATGCAAGAGACAGAAGACAGTTTTCAGTTTCTGGTAAAGGACAGCAAACCGAACATTGTCACTGATAATACCTTCCATATCCAATGGTCTCTTATCAGCTTTCAGCACATGAGGTAAACAGCGCTACCCAGCAGTGTCCTTCCTTGAACATAATCTAAATTAATGACATTGCCCTTCAGAGTGATAAAAGTGCTAACAAATTGCCTGTCACTTTTGCCATGTGTTCACCATTGGCTGAGCTCTTGCTGTTCGGGTGTTTTTGAATGTTGACAACCAGTGAGAGGCCAGAATGGTTTACAGATAGTTCTTTTGCGTGTTTGTACATGGCTGTGGGTGTTATTTTAATACAAAAAGTAATCTATACATATTATCAGCAAATACATATGAGAAAAATAAAAACTCACTTGGATCAAGAGCGTAACCTATCAGAGTGTGCAGTGCTTTATGCTATTCTCAAAAAGCTGGCATAGATGAGAAGTTGCTAATAGGACACAGGACTCAGAAGGTGAACTGCATGAAGTCAGAGCAAATTAGTAAATAAAGTTTCATGCGCTGAGATGCGGGTTGAATGAAAAGTAATGCCTCCACTTTCGTAACTCCTCAACAGATGGCAGTACTGGTATGTGACAGGTACTGGCTTGTTCAGTAGACTCTCCTCTACAGTTCCATTTTGGCAGGAAGCCTTAGCATTGAACAGTTGTGTTGTTAAATGTGAAGTATGGAACCCTGTGCAGACAGTCAGTCAATGCAACTTAAGCAACGTGCAGTCATTGAATTCTTGACAGCAAAAGGTGTCACCCCAAAGGAGATTCATCAGAGAATGCAAGCTGTTTATGATGATTGTGTTGATGTGAGTACTGTGCGTCATTGGGCGAGTAAGTTTAAAGATGTTGAGGTGGGAACATCTGACTTGCATGACAAACAAAAAAAGAAGATTAATCAGAGAATGCAAGCTGTTTATGGTGATTGTGTTGATGTGAGTACTGTGTGTCGTTGGGTGAGTAAGTTTAAAGATGTTGAGGTGGGAACATCTGACTTACATGACAAACAAAGAGTTGGATGTCCTGTGACAGCAACCACCGAGTTTCACAAGCAAAAGGTTGACAGATTGATTCAGGATGATCGTTGTATCACTCAGAGAGAAATTTCAAGCATAATCGGCATTTCACAAGAATGTGTGGGTCACATTATTGCTTTGCTTGGCTATTGGAAGATCTGTGCATGATGGGTATCCAGGATGAGAGAACTGTGAGATGCTGGTTGCGGAAACAAAGTGTTGACTTCTTCCATGATGGCTTCAGAAAACTTGTTCATCGTTGGCAGAAATGTATCCAATTGTCTGGTGATTATGTGGAAAAGTGAATAGTAGTAGTTAAAGAGCACATTCTAAGGATTATTTCTGCATTTGATTTATTAAAATATTCCCATCCAAACCCAAGTAATGAAGGTGGAGGCATTACTTATCATTCAACCCTCGTAGATGGTCACTAGCTTTATTTATTTTTCAAAATCAGCATATTCATTTGTAAAAATAGAATTCCACAGCATTGAGCTATGGCAATTAAAGTGATGTCAAACTGCAATAATTCTACAGTGTAGATGCAGCTATTGACTGAGTCTATTTCTTACAATGGGTATTATGTTCCCTTGGAACCCTTAGTACACCTTCAGCACACATAAACATGCATATAGACTTGCACAGATAAGTCACATAAGGTTGCAGTGGGAACAAGTACCGTTATTTAATTTTTGTCAAACTGAATTTTATAACTGTGTTTTTCCCTTTTCTGGAATTGAATTAAGCCAGTTTAATTATATTGAATTACATCTAATGAAGACAGATCACATCCTTGACTAAATGAAAAGAAGAGTGATGCATCACGATTGATTGAATTGATATAAATTGCAGTTCAAATCTAAATTTGATCATCCTGGAAATAATCCAACAACAAATGCGTCAAGGCAAGCCAATGGAATTAATTCGTTATGTGCAATCTAGATACTCCTTGCCTTATAAAACCCTATGAAATGGATAGGATTGCCATTAATCAATAGGTGACTTGAATGCACACATACGTATCCATATATATCCTCAGATACAAGAGTTCAACGAGCAAACATTTACAGTACATGCTCTGTCTCTTTCCAGCTACAATGTCAGTGAGAAGGCTGGCTCCATTAGTGTCACAGTGAAGAGGACAGGTAACCTCAAACAATATGCAATTGTTCTGTGTCGCACAGAGCAGGGAACTGCCACCTCCGGTTCAAGTCTTCAGCCAGGAGACCAGGACTATGTTGAGTATGCAGGCCAGGTGAGTTCAAGAAGTGTACTCTATAGGTTAGAAAAGTCTCCAGAGTAGCTTGCTCTTTACTGTTCTAAATTAATGGTTTTGTTGACAAACCGGGAAAAACTTCATAGGTAAAACCTCTCCTCATTCAGCTGCAGGAAAAGGTGTTGAGGCAAGAGGTGTAACATAAGAATGACAGTTTAGATATCACTGGCTGACACATATTTTGGTGCCTCGAATGCTAGCCCTGTTTCTGGCTATGATTGACCTGCTGATTCCAAAAATGGCACCAGTTTCCCCCTATCAGCTCTAATTTTTGAAATACAGAACATATGGCATATACCACTTGCTATTTGCTCACCCATAATAACTACATGTAAGAAACTAGAATTGATGCGGCTTATCCAATGCAGTTTTCTGAATTAGTGCCCCAAATAACGTCAGGAACATGCCGAAAAACAAAGATACCAATGAAGGGGTGAGTGGAGCTTATTAGGTGAAGAGATGTTAAAAATGCTGAAATGCAAGCCCAAGAGAGAGGTTTGTCCTTTGGCCTACGAAACAGCGAAGGCTGAAAGGAAGATAGGATATTTGAAAGACAGGATGCAGAGTTGCCAAGGGCATGGGGCAGGATGGCATACAAGAAGTCTGAAGTCATAACATGTATGTTTGCTCTAAGTGTATAGAAGGTTATCAGTTTTAGAGGTGCCGAAGTGACAATGTGAAATAATATGTTTTTGAAACATTGTTCTGGAGGTGGATCTGTTTCATGACACAGTGAGAAAAGTGTATAAGAAAGAACTGAAAATTCAAATGGCACATACAGCCTTTTTTTGAAAGACATTTGACTTGTCTGGCTGTCTGTCCTAGTGTGGCCACACTTGAAAATAAAAGGATTTTGCCTCACTCACAGAGACTGTTGGCCTTTCTTTGTCACCAACCATCGCTAATTAAAATAGTTCCCTACAACGAGATTTTTTTCTTATTGAGCTGTGTATTTGGCCTCTGCCAGGACATTTGCTATCAATCATGGCTTGGCAAACTGATCCCAAATGGAGACATGGAAGGTGACTTTCTGACCAGAGGTTATTGTGGTCAGTTTCCTGAGATGAGTGCTTATTTTTAAGCTGAGGGTTCAGAAGCTATAGTTGGAGGTGCCAAGATCAATTGTCCCACTAGGCATTGTGAAGCAGTAGCCTCAGATCACAGACATTTAGCAGCAACAAAGCTGTTTCTTCTGAGGTCTTGGCAATTTCTCTGTTGGAGAACTTAGTGTTGCATGTACCACACATTTTATCTTATTTCCCTGAATTGCCTTTTGTCTCATGAGCATTGTTGAGGATCCCATTCCCTTTCAAGTAATCAATTTGCATTCCTGTATATGGAGTAGGCAATGGGAATGTCGTCAGGTCTGTTGCTTGATACATCAAAATGTCTTGGGCCAACTCTGAGAGGGAATGTTCTATAAGGGAAGAGCTTCATGGTTCTGGTGTCAGTGGGCTTTCTAGATCTTGCCAGTCACAAGTGTTCTTGTTACATACTTTCTTTGCCTTGCACCTGAAAAAGCACACATAATTACTGTATCTCAGTGACATGGGCTTCATTCTCAGCCTATGAGATTTTTAGGTCATTCAGCAAGAGTCCCTGGCACCTCAGTAGTTTGCCTTAAATCAGGAGTCTCCAAATTAAGGTCAGCAGGGAAATGACGCCCCAAGGCCGTTTACCTGGCTCACACCCTTAACTTTAAACTTAGAGTTGCCTTAAGTTTGAAACAACTTGAAGGCACACAACAACTATAACTCGATTATCTCATCAGCCAAAAGCAGACCCACACTTTCCACTGAAATACTGATAATTTTATGTTGGTTAAAATTGTTCTTCATTTGCACATATTGCATTGTGCTTTCAATTTTTGCACAACAAAATTCATGTGCAGCGTATACCATAATCCAGCCTCCTAACAGTCTGAAAGACTATGAAGCTGCCTTAAATCAAGGGCAGGGAAATCTATTACTTTGGGAAAGGGAACCAGGCATCAAGATGAGGTTGTAAAAGGGCCAAGTAGGGAAAGATGTGGAACAACTTCAACATTATTAGGTTTGTATCGAGTGTGAATTTGGTTGAGAGATTTTGCTTCTGTAGTACATTGACCACAATCACCGTCACAGCCCTAGAGTTGTTGATGTGTTGCCTTCAGGTCAGAAGATGTCATTTCTGGGCATGAGAAGGGCAGGGAATAAATATAAGAAATAAATAAATAGATAGATAAGATATGATGCAGCTTGAACTCAAAGGGTGCGGCATATGTTGTTAGTGTACAAACTTGCTGATCCTCATCTTCACCACCATCACACAGGTACAGTTTGATGAACGTGAAGACACAAAATCCTGTAGCATCATTATCAATGATGACAATGTCTTTGAGAACACTGAGAGCTTCACTGTGGAACTTACTATGCCAGCCTATGCCTTGTTGGGGAGCATCACTGAGGCCAAAGTCTTCATCGATGATGAGGAAGATGAGCCTACTCTTCAGTTTGATAAGAAGGTCTACCATATCAGTGAGAGTGCCGGCATCTTGGCTGCCCCCATTGAAAGAAAAGGTGGGTTGCATTAGAGCAGAGGAAAGAATCAATGTAGCCATAGGCATCCTATTAACTGCTCTGGACGTCCCAAGTGTCAACAACAGTAACGTCACCCATAAGCATCCAAGGGATGTTACTGTTTTAACACAGTCAATATCCTGTTACACCTTTCTGGGGAACTCAAACTGACATTTAAAGATAGAAAGGACCACAAGGGCCATCTAATCCAACCCATCTAATACATAACTAAAGCGCTCCTGTGAGATGCCTCTCCAAAATGAGGCTGTTGTTCATCCTTCCATTTGAACTGACTATAGAATTACCTTCAAGGACCTGGAGATTCCTAAAGAGAACTTAATCAAATCCACACATAAACAAATTTGCACAAGTTAAATCCATGTAGTCACACTGTAATTGCATGTATCAATGCATTAATGGTCTACCCAGAGCTTAGAAACATTAGATATTTGAACCATAATTCCCATAATGCCTTAATCATCATGATCAGAAAACTATGGAATTACAATTCAAAAAGTAGCTTGTCTCAGTCCTGGTTAGAGCTCTCAGTACAAAGTGGAATAAAAATATACTTTTGAGCACAGAAGATCTACACTTGGTGGCTTTGGTCAACCAATATAATAGAAAATATCCCTTGTATGACTCTGTTGTTCCATTATAGGTGACGCTAGCAGTATTGTGTCTGCAATTTGCTACACCGTCCCCAAGAGTGCTAAAGGCAGCAGCATGTATACGCTGGAGTCTGGTTCAGACTTTAAGTCAAGGGCAATGTCCAACAAGAACCGTATTGTCCTTGGGCCGGGTGTCACGATGACCACCTGTGATGTGCAGCTGATTGATGACAGTGAGTACGAAGAGGAGGAAGAATTTGAAATTGCGCTTGCAGATGCATCAGAAAATGCACAGATCGGAAGCATCGCTTCAGCCAAGGTTATGATCAGCGGGCCCAATGATGCCTCAACAGTGTCCCTTGGAACAGCTACTTATACTGTCAGTGAAGATGCAGGTGAGATATAACCTTTCACCTTTGCAGTGTTTTTATGGTCCTTTGAGAAAAGTTTGGAAACATTGGGGAGTATAGGAAATCCATTCCAAAGCTTCGACTTTGAAATACTGGGTTTTTGGAGATTTCAGCTCCTAATTTTTAGCACTGCCATTATTTTAAACTACTGTAAGTCATGATATTTAATCTTTTTTTTAAAAAAATTATATTGTTAAGCTTTTTAAACTGACTCTTTTTGGGAGCTATCTTGTGGCCCAATTTGGGGGAAAGGCAGCATAGAAATGAAATAATACATAAATAATACAAATGAAGTAATACATAAATAAATAAGCCTTTGCTGACTTGGGGACAAAGACTTTATTGTATTGTCAAAGGCTTTCATGGCCGGAATCACTGGGTTGTTGTAGGTTTTTTCGGGCTATATGGCCATGTCTAGAGGCATTCTCTCCAGACGTTTCGCCTGCATCTATGGCAAGCATTCTCACTACCTCTGAGGATGCTTGCCATAGATGCAGGCAAAACGTCAGGAGAGAATGCCTCTAGAACATGGCCATATAGCCCAAAAAAACCTACAACAACCCAGGTTCTCAACGTGTAGGTCCCCAATGTGTTTTGGCCTACAACTGCCAGAAATCCTAGCCAGTTTACCAGATGTTAGGATTTCTGGGAGTTGAAGATCAACAAGGACAACAAACAAGGACATCTAATCACCTCTCAACAAAAGATTGCTCCAGGCACTGCCAGGCAATCAAATGCTAATCAAGGGGATCAGTTGAAACATTCACACCTAGCTCCAACAGACAAGAGTCCTTTGTCCCACCCTGGTCATTCCACAGATATATAAACCCTTTTTCCTAGTTCCAACAGACCTCACTACCTCTGAGAATGCTTGCCGTAGATGCAGGCAAAACGTCAGGAGAAAATGCCTTTAGAACATGGCCATATAGCCCGAAAAAACCTACAACAACCCAAAAGTAACTTTCCCAAGCGCTGATTATGGACAACATGTTTATTTTAAAGGCACATCTGAATAGCATAAAGAATCCCAGTTGAACTTTTAAGATTGAACATTTCTCACCACCTACCATCTGTTTGATTCTTGTAATGTCCAGTTAATTGAAGGAGGATATGTACAAATCTGGTCTTTTGATACTTTGTTTTAAGGGATTTGGGTTTTGTTTCTGGGCTGCATTATAGCACCTGTTTACTCCTGCTTTCCAAAGTAGAAGTTCTTTGTATATATTGTTTAAAGTGGTGCTTCCCAAGGGGGCCAGTGAATGTTAAAGTAGTTGAGTCCATTTGTTATAATTGCTTATTTATTCACTGGAAACTCACCAGAGCGCAGCAACCAATGTCTTATGGACCAGCACCAGTCCATGCACCAGTACTCTAATTGAAAGTGAAAGATGGACTTTGAAACCCCCTTTTATTGTCTCAAGACAGGATTTATATGTGTACCAGAATTCTGTGGGAATCAGGATTCAGGTCACAGCGGATTTTGCCCATTGTACTGTATATTTATTTCTAAGGATTTTGTTATTGCTATTGTTCATTATACTATATTATATTATATTATATTATATTATATTATATTATATTATATTATATTGTTATTCTTCTTGGGAGGAGAGCAATGTCCAATCTCGATAAAATAGTAAAGAGTAGACACATCACACTGGCAACAAAGATCCGCATAGTCAAAGCCATGGTATTCCCTGTAGTAACCCACGGATATGAGAGCTGGACCTTAGGGAAGGCTGAGCAAAGGAAGATCGATGCTTTTGAGCTGTGGTGCTGGAGGAAAGTGCTGAGAGTGCCTTGGACTGCGAGAAGATCCAACCAGTCCATCCTCCAGGAAATAAAGCCCGACTGCTCATTGGAGGGAAGGATACTAGAGACAAAGTTGAAGTCCTTTGGCCACATCATGGGGAGACATCAAAGCTTAGAGAAGACAATTATGCTGGGGAAAGTGGAAGGCAAAAGGAAGAGGGGCCGACCAAGGGCAAGATGGATGGATGGCATCCTTGAAGTGACTAGACTGACCTTGAAGGAGCTGGGGGCAGTGACGGCCAACAGGGAGCTCTGGCGTGGGCTGGTCCGTGAGGTCACGAAGAGTCAGAGACGACTGAACGAATGAACAACAACATTGTTCATTAATCTGTCTGTTTTTCCTTACAGGGATTATTGAAATCCCAGTTATTCGACATGGATCTGATCTTTCAACCCCTACCTCAGTGTGGTGTGCCACTCGGACATCTGAGCCACCATCGGCTACACCAGGGATTGACTATATTCCAAGCTCCAAGAAAGTGGAGTTTCGCCCAGGGAGGATTGAAGAGGTATTGCTACATTCCTTGCTTTTACCAAATTATTGGAGTTGCAGGGTTAAACTAGGCATTTGGAAGTGGTGGGATGAAGGAAGAATACAGTCTGCATGTGATCCCAAGGCACATTTTTGTATCCTCCAAAGTCCCCTTGGTGTGGGTGCCAGATTTGATCTAAGATGGAGTTTTGGTAATGATCTTCCTTAAAAAATCTTGGAGCAAAATGAGAAACTATCAACCTCCATCAGTTGATACAAATACCTTAACTTCCAAACATCAAATTTCAACCACAGCCATCACATCCCAACACACCAGTAAAGGTCACCAAAAAGCTTCCAACTCTTTTTCTTGTCACCTGATTGAGTGCTTCTCCATACCTCCTCTTCACCACCAAGGCAACAGCCATGTAGAGAGCGAACAGCTGCAGCTTTAAGTTGGGATCTGGAAGTTGTGGGATGGACAGGTACCTTCACCCCACTTGTTGAACTTTACTATTCAATGTAGAATAATTTCATTGTAGCATTTTACACCTCTGAAGACCTATTGGGAGTAGCCACAGAGAAGGACCTCTTCTGTTCCCACCAGATGAACCAGTGAGGATGGTGGGACAGAGAGAAAAACTTTCCCAGAAGATTTCAAAACATGGACAGGCTTATATTAAAGACTACAGTCCTTCAAATAATATGAATTTGAGCTGTAAATGTGAAAAAGTATCATTCTTAGTTTTGTCGCTCACTCTTTTCTAAATCTTTGATGAATGTTCTTATTGGCTCAGCATTATTCATCTTGTATAATCCAGGAGGAAGGAGAAAATTTCACTGTAATCCAGATATGGAGACTCACTTGCACGGAAATTCTCTGATGAGACAAGTGCTTTCATCTCTTCCATCTGTTCATCCAAAATAATTAAATCTGTACAAAGACAATTGTGTTGCTATTTATGCATCTAGGAAAGCTCCAAAATGCTATTTTTTTCTCTTATCATCTAGAGCAGTGGTCCCCAACCTATATATTGTCAAAGGCTTTCATGGCTGGAATCACTGGGTTGTTGTAGGTTTTTTCAGGCTATATGGCCATGTTCTAGAGGCATTCTCTCCTGACGTTTTGCCTGCATCTATGGTAAGCATTCTCACAACCTCTGAGGATGCTTGCCATAGATGCAAGCGAAATGTCAGGAGAGAATGCCTCTAGAACATGGCCATATAGCCCAAAAAAATCTACAAAAACCCAGGTTCTCAACCTGTAGGTCTCCAGGTGTTTTGGCCTACAACTGCCAGAAATCCCAGCCAGTTTACCAGCTGTTAGGATTTCTGGGAGTTGAAGGTCAAAACATCTGGGGACCCACAGGTTGAGAACCACTGACCTAGAGCTTCAGCTTATTCATGCACGCATGTAGTTGGTGGGGTGTATATATTAAGAAGGTAGGCCTTTTTTATTTCTCTTCTCTTTGTCAGTACTGCACCTTGACAATCTTGGATGATGCACAGTACCCAGTGATAGAAGGAGTAGAGACATTTGTTGTCTACTTGAGCTCACCACAAGGAGCTGAACTGGCCAAGCCTTTTCATGCAGTAGTGGCTATTAATGACACCTTTCAAGATGGTAAGTGGGTTAGCAAATTCCTATTTAACTCTGTTGGTAATACTGTTGATGGCTTTCTAGAAAATTTGGAATGGATGTCAAGAAAGTAAATAACTATTTGAAATTCTTATATGGATAGGCTCTCTTGGTTTGCTGAGGCAAAAGGACATAGCCACATCCTCTCTGTTGCTCATACAAAAGCCAACTGGACTGGCAGTGGAATTGGATGACATGATCACATATTTTACCTCATCTCAAGGCAGCAAACTTGATTAAGGGTTACAAAGGAGGCTGCATCTCTGTTCTACAAGAAAGGCAAATGACCAAATGTCTTAGGAGGGATGACTCTTAGGCTACCACTGCTGCTCTCCAGTATCTGCTGTACAAAGCCAAGGCCAGATTAAGATAGTTGTGATTATATTGTGTCCTGATATCTGAACTGCTGAACTGAATTGGATCATGTGATCCAGAACAAATTCTTACTAATGGACTATATCTGCTCTCTGGCTGGAAATTATCATGTTGCTATATTCCAGTCATGTATCAACAATAGACAGACAAAACCACCTTGATCCAAACAGCAAGGCACAAAGAAGTGCGCAACCTTTCAAGATGATGCAATCTTTTTGTCAATCAGGATGTTACATAAAAGAAAGGGAGGGAGGTTGAAAATTGACTTTTTATTGAAATCTTGGTTGCCCTCAAGATTCCCGAGACTGAAATCTGTCTACATTTGAATGAGACTGTTAGCAGATGTTGGTTTTAGGTTTCACCTCCAGCATTCACTAGGAATTCTGAGAGCAAGACAAGCACAAAAGCGTGATTCTCCACTTTTGAAAATATAAAATCCATTTGCAAATTCTTTGCAGGTAAGATGTTGTACTCACAATCAGCCTATAAGTGTGTTGTTATCTTTGAAGACATTGTGAGTTTGCAAAACTTGTGCCATAGTGTTTTGTGATCTTCTTGTTGTGCCTTCTGTAGTGCCAAACATGAAATTTAGCAAAGATTTGTATCCTGTGAAAGAGAAGGATGGGATCCTGCATGTTCCTATTATCCGTACTGGAGACTTGAGCTATGAGTCCTCTGTAAGATGTTATACTCAGGGTCAGACTGCAAGAGTCATGGAGGACTTTGAGGAAAGGAAGAATACTGAAGACTCTCGTGTCACTTTTTTGAGAGGGGAAAAAGTGAGTGAATATCCTTAACAAAATAAAAAAAGCTTGGGCAAGTTCCTTAAATGAAACTCCAAGAATACCCCAGCCAGAAAAGCAGTTTGGCAAGTTATATTTAGGAGAATGTATTCATGAGATATTGGCAAAATGATGTGTATATGTGCATGTGCCTTTAAATCACCTATTGAATTATGGCAACCCCATGAACTTCATGGGGTTCTCTTAAGCAAGGAATACCTAGTAGTGGTTTTGCCAGTTTTTCCCTCAGAAATATAGCCTACAGCACTTGGCATTCGTTGGTAATCTCATCCAAGTACTGAGCCACGCTGACTACTTAGCTTCCAAGATCAGATAGGATCTGGTGCCTTTAGGGCACTTAAGCAGATCTTGTCTAAAGTGGACTTTCATGTAATACATTCCTTGCAAATAGCCACTGCTTGTTCCCTGTTGACCGTCATTTTTCACGCAATTTAGTTTTAATTTTTTTTCCTGCTACATTATGTTAGTGCTTTTGGTAATTTACAGTGAAATAATGTGTAATAATGCAGTCTATTTAAAATTATGCATCACTGAGAATTAGGCCCAAATGACCTTCAGTATGACTTATCATTATTTGCGTGGCCATAATCTTTGAACAGCTCAGTAGAGACATAGCCATGGTATTCTGGTATTCACTAATCATTCTCTGTGGTGATGATAGGCAAGTTCCCTTGGTCTGTGTTCCTCCAATTTCTGATGTATATTGTGCTGGGATATGTGAAAAGACCTCTTTTGCAGTTGAACTATCCTCTGGAACCTGCTACCTATGTGGACCTTCTCAATCTTTCTTTAGTGTCTCAAGTATGATATTTGTGAAATCTTTTCAGTTTTAGATAGTTACTTGAATGACCTAAGTTGGTCTTCCCTAATCCGTTGCCCTGCAGATGTTCTGGTTCACCTCATCCAGTCTGAACTTTGGTCCAATTTCTCACTCTAGCTCTCTTAACTTATTTCCTTTTGATGGAGAAATGAATATATCACACCAGATTTGAAATCCCAAAATTTCCATGGTGACAACTTGGTTAGAGAATTCGTCCTGGTGAAAATCTAGTTGTTCCCCCATTATTATTATTTAGGCAACAACTGAAAATATACAAGTTGAGTATCCCTCATCCAAAATATCCCAGGCTAGAAGTGTTCAGTATTTTGGATTGTGGAAGAGGGTCAGAATGGTTGCATATACATAAGAAGACATCTTGAAAGTGGAAACCAAGTCTACACATGGTATTCATTTATGTTTCATATACACATAGCCTGAAGGTAATTTTATGCACAATATTTTTAATGTGAAACAAAGTTTGTGTGCATAGAAAGCAAAGTTATCATTATCCATGCCACCTATGTGGGGAATTGTGGATTTTGGAGTATTTTGGATTTCATAATTCCAGATAATGAATGCTCAACTTGTGTTTAGTTGTGCAAGATGATAAGACAAGTTTCTTTGCCCATCTTTGGTGATAATTTTAATGCATCTTATAATAAATATGCAATTTTTCAGATTACTCTGATAATGTTGAGTTTGCATTTTGAACTGTGATTTATAAAAGTCATAGGCCTTTCTATCCTCGTTGAGAAGGACACTTATGTTATACCATAAATAAACAAAATATTGCTCCTTAATTTTAAGTCATTTTAGCTAGCTTTAGTCTAATTCATTTTGTCACATTAAGACATTTTCTTGTTCTTATTTCATATTGCCAATATGTCATTTATCATAGTACCATGCAAAGTGTTTTGAATATTTCTAAATAGAATACAGGATATAGTAATTTTAATAAATTAATCTCACAAGGTTCCTTGAATGGTTACTGTCCTTGGCTTTAGGTGAAGAACTGCACTGTCTTTATCAATGATGACTCTGCATTTGAACCAGAGGAGAAATTCCAGGTATATCTGAGCCACCCTCTTGGAAACCATTGGAGTGGGGCTACAGTTGGGAAGAACAACGTGGCCACAATTGTCATTTCCAATGATGAAGATGGTAAGATTTAAATATATTTGAACTCCTCAACTGTTTTCATCTTTTCCAGATCTGGGATCTATATTTGAACCTCAGCTTAGATATTGATTGATATATCCTCATTGGTCCACATTTCATGTACTCAAATATATTGCAGATGATTTTTCCACATTTGCACTTGAGTCTGCAACTCTACCCATGACTTGGTGGCTAACATAACATCTTTGGCATACAGTAGTGTCCAAGGATGCAGTGTCTCTGGTGATTGCGTCCATGCATAGTATGAACAGCAATGGTGGCAGAGCCGATTCTTGATGGACTCCAACTCAAACAGGGAAGGGCTTGCTGATTCCTGCCACGCACCTTACCAAATTTGTCAGATTCGCGTACAGCATCTTTGACAATTTTATGTATTCTTCCAGTACTCTTTGTGATCTCAGTGCCATTCATATAAGTTCATGTGGAACCCGGTCAAGTGCCTTCTCAACATTTAGAAATGTCATGTGGGTGTTATGGTTCTTCTCTCAGTGTTTTTCAATCAAAGGTTGAAATCAATTGCGTTGATGATCCCTCACCTCTTTATGAAGGATGAAAATGAGACTGGTTGCTCTATATGCCACTGAATGCTGGCTAACCACTAAGACCATTTAGCAAACTCTGTACACTATGAAAATGCAGATGCTCAGGTGGTCAATGGGCATTACCTTGAAGGACAGGTTTCCAAACAATACAGTGCGCCCCATCTCCAGAGTTGCTCCGATCACTAAGAAAATGAAAGAATCCTGTCTGAGATGGTTTGGACATGTGCAACAAAACGATGAAGGTTCCATGGCCAAAACTGTGCTGAATATGGAATTTGCAGGTGCCAGGCCACGCACCATACCTAAAACACACTCACTCAACTGTTTGAAATGCAATATGGCTGAAGCATGACTCACAATGAAAGACACAACCAATAGGAACAAGTGGAGAACAAGAAGCAAACAAGTGGACCCTACGAATTTATGGGAGAAATGCGAGGAGGAGGAGGAGGAGGAGGAGAAAGACCCATCATTTAACTTTAACCTTCCCATATCTTCCTGTTTTGTTTATGAGTTTTTGATTATTCTTTTGGCTGCATATGTGATCACAGAATTAGATAAGAAGTGCTCTGAGAGTCACTGAACCTGAAGACTCTGCTAAACTATCAGCAAGGACAAAGCTAGGATGGTCTGGAAAGGACAAAGTTTTTCAGCCACCAGTCAGCAAGAGGTTCCCTTCCCACTTGCCTTCCCTTTCCTGTCTATGATGGAACACAGCAAACATTCCACTTGTAAGCTAGTGAGGGGAAGAAGGATGTAGGGGTGATTGACTGGTGGAATAAAAGCATTGTTGTGGAGGGAAAACTAGGAAAATCACTTGACCAACAGCCCATAAATTTCCCTGCTGTCTACAACTAGTAGCACGATCATTAATTCTGAATTAAGATTCAGCTGATTCCACACCATGCATAATTAAATTTTGTAAACCTCTGTTATCTTTCCACTTAATAGTCATACTTCTTGAAGTAAAACAGTTCAAAGAGTTTTTTTTAACTTTATAATGTTCCCCAGAGTTCTCACTCAAAGACTCTGAGTTCAATAATTTCAGGAAAAGGGTACATAAATAATCCTGACTTGAGTTAGAGCGATGATTTAACTGCTGTTAAATTTTAGCACAGTTATCAAGCATCACTGTGTCCTGAAATGTGTAAGGAAATTAATCTTTATATTTGTCAGCTCCCAACATTGGTCAGTGTTAAGAACATTTTTAATATCAACAGTATTGTAAACATAGTGATCCTCTAACACTTTAGAGATTAACTGAGAAAATGAAGTTGGTAGCATAAGCTTCCATAGTCTAAAGGTGCATCTATACTGTAGAATTAATTCAGTTTGACACCACTGGAATTGGCAGTTATGCAAGTCATGAGCACTCTTTAGGAGAGAAGACTAAAGACCTTGTAAAACTATGAGGCCCGTGATTCCATAACATTTAGTGATGACAGGTTTTTTTGTCGTGTCAGGAGTGACTTGAGAAACTGCAAGTCGCTTCTGGTGTGAGAGAATTGGCCGTCTGCAAGGATGTTGCCCAGGGGACGCCTGGATGATTTTGATGTTTTTATCATCCTTGTGGGAGGCTTCTCATGTCCCAGCATGGAGAGCTGGAGCTGATAGAGGGTGCTCATCTGCCTCCCCCCGGATTCGAACCTGAGACCTGTCGGTCTTCAGTCCTGCCAGCACAGGGGTTTAACCCACTGTGCCACCGGGGGCTCCGTGATGACAATTAAAATGATGTCAAACTGTATTAATTCTGTGGTGTGGACACACCCTCATATGCATCTTATTCGTTGGAAATTATTATAGGCTCTCATGCCACATTATATTATCCTTCACTTTTTTGACACAGTTGTTGATGCATGGTGTTTTCCCTTTTTTTCCAGCACCCACCATTGAGTTTGAAGAAGCTGCCTACCAAATCCGTGAACCTCCTGGGCCCGAGGGTGTTGCTTTCTTAAATGTCAAAGTAATCCGGAGGGGAGACCAGAATAGGACCTCCAAAGTTCGCTGCAGCACCCGCGATGGATCAGCCCAGTCCAGCATTGATTATTACCCAAAGAGTCGAGTCCTCAAGTTTAGTCCTGGTAAAACAATCAAAGTAGATGTAATGAATTGGAGGATCACTGGATTTACTGTAGTAGACATTTTTCCGACAAAACGCATTTTTGTTGGACACTTTACTAACTTTGTGCCATGTGGTAGTCCACACAGTTTCATATCCCAATGCCAAGGTGTAAAATTAAAAACTTCCATAAAGTAAATAGAGAAGTTTATAAAACATTTGAACACAGAGGCATGGACGTAACTGCTTTATAAATATACTAGCCACCCCCTGCCATGCGTTGCTGTGGCCCACATGGGGTTCTGTGTGGGAGGTTTGGCCCAATTCTATCGTTGGTGGGGTTCAGAATGCTCTGTGATTGTAGGTGAACTATAAATCCCAGCAACTACAACTTCCAAATGTCAAGATTCTATTTTCCCCAAACTCCACCAGTGTTCACATTTGGGCATATTGAGTATTCGTGTAGAGTTTGGTCCAGATCCATCATTGTTTGAGTCCACAGTGATCTCTGGATGTAGGTGAACTACAACTCCAAAACCAAAGGACACTGCCCACCAAACCTTTCCAGTATTTTCTGTTGGTCATGGGAGAACTGTGTGCCAAGTTTGGTTCAATTCCATCGTTGGTGGGGTTCAGAATGCTCTTTGATTGTAGGTGAACTATAAATCCCAGCAACTACAACTCCCAAATGACAAAATCAATTTTTTTAGTGAAGAACATACATTGGGTTGTTATGTGTATTGTGTCCAAATTTGATGTCAATCCTCTAAGTCCTTTTTGAGTTCTGTTAATCCCACAAACGAACATTACATTTTTATTTATATAGATGGGATGCAGCTCTTACTTTCATTTTTAGCCTTCTATAATCCCTCAAGTGTTAAATTGTAGACTGTAAGCTTTTCAGGACAGGGACCTGGACCTTTTTTGTACTCAAATAACATGCAATAATAAGGAGTTTAATAACTAAAGATTGGGAGGAGGGGTTACTTTTTGGCTTATAAATCCTAACTAGTTTTGATGGTACAGAGATTCTAGGAGTTCTTGGCAATACAGTATAATTCTTATACATGTGGAGCTTAGTTACATCTAGCCATATAAAAAATGCCTCTCTAAAAAGTTAGTAGGTTGTCCATGTCATAATCCAGAACAGGCACATCTCTGACTTGAAACACCACACTAGCTTGGTAAAATCAGCAAGCAGTTTATTGTAGAATATATGTAGCCAAAGCAGGAAAAAATAGTAAAACAGTAAAAATCCAAGATAATCCATAAACTTTAAAAATAAACCAGATCCATTAGTACATAGAAATCCATGAAGCAAGGCACTTGAAAACAAGGAACAAAACAACAGGAACTCTTAGGTAAAAACAAACAAACAAACCCTTAGAATTGGCAACAACTAAATAGATGAAACATAGAGCACTGGAAAATGAACCCAGCATAACTCAACTGAGACACTGATGAATCATTATTAACCCCTCCAAAGGTTGAAACTGACAGGAAAGTGGTTTTTTCTCACTTTCCCACTAGGTAACGTTTTGTTATTTTTTCTTTTGTTGTAAACAAGCAGAATGCCTGAAATTCAGAAATCTCTGGCTCCATTTACTGAAACTTTGTTTTCTGTCCAAGGCTTCACTATCATCTCCTTCTGCACCTTGCAAAGCAATCCCATCAACATTTTCAGGCTGCTGCTCTGAGAAAAGCAGTGAAAGGTCTTTCCCAGGAATGTGACCTTGTTCAGACCTCTCTTCTAAACTTAACTCCGGCCTGGGCAAACTCGCATCCTCAAGCCCATAATCAGGAACATCATTTTTATTCCCATTATGCACATCAACATGAACATGAATATCATAATGTGCATCAGACAGAATCACAGGGTGACATACAACAGTCCAAGCATGCATTCCATGGCATGTATCTGTGGTAGATACTATAGAGCAGGCATGGGCAAACTTTGGCCCTCCAGGTGTTAGGAATTGTAAGAGTTGAAGTCCAAAACACCTAGAGGGCCAAAGTTTGCCCATGCCTTTTATAGAGTATATCTCTAGGAGTTTTGTAGGTCATTGATTTCAATAGAGTTCACTTTTATTCATTGTTTCCTGTTTCCAAAGTGATTTGACAGTTGTATCCCCTTGGATGAAGAGGATCATACCGTATAGTAATAGAAAATGCCTATCTCCTTGCCCTGATTCTGTAGCTCATTTCCCAGGTTTATGAAGAGCACATTGGGGCATTATATCACTGTAGCTACACTCCTAGTGCAATCCTACATATGACTACTCAGAAGTAATCTTCATAGGGACTTGAATTAATCCCAGAATATGTGTTTATAATTGCATGCCTTACTCCTATTTATTTCAGTGAGAACATTAAGCTCAGCATCGAAGTCTTCATCTATATCTGGAGGGTATCCATTGCTTCTTATTCTTAGGTCCTGTACCATGTTTTTCTCTAGTCTATTCCTTCCTCCTTAAGCTGCTTCTGCTTCCCAGTTCAAAGATACCCCATCCAGTCTTTCCCGTACACCTGATCCTGTTGTTCCTTTGTCCCACATGTTCTCTCATGTTGAGTCCTCTGTTCTCAATTCCATTGAAGCTTTGGTTTTGCTTACATCCAGGCTTTTTTGTTTCGCTGGCCCTTTTTTCAGACATATCAATCCATAGTATCTCTTCCAGCCCCTACAGAAAATCTCACAAGACCATCAGTTTTGTGCTTCTTGTAAAGAATCAAAGCAGATATGCCTCTGAGCAAGAATATGGGAGGCATATTTTGGATCATAGATTTTTATTAAAGTTTGTCAGGCCCCATTAATCTTCACATGGCATCTGTTAGTAAATCTGTCAAGGAATCCATTAAATTGTGTGCTTTTAAAAAAATAAGAAGGGAAGACTGTGTCTAAATAATAAGGGCCAATGAGGTTAAGATAAAACCTGTGTTTGCTTATATTACAGCAGTTTAGGAGGTCTGACCTTCCATATTTCTTTACTAAAATCAGATGGCAGGTTGGTGTGATTCAGTCTGTTTCCATGTCTTCTCATGCAGGTGTGGATCACATCATATTTAAGGTGGAGATCATGTCTAATGAAGACAAGGAGTGGCATGAGTCCTTCTCACTGGTGTTAGGACCAGATGATCCTGTTGAAGCTGTCCTGGGGGAGCTCACCACTACAATAGTGACCATTCTTGACCAAGAAGCTGCTGGAAGCCTCATTTTACCAGCCCCTCCTATTGTAAGTTGTTTAATCTGAATGATCAGTTCAGGCCTATCTCTTACATATGACTTTTTGTTGTGACATAAGTCTGAATGAATTAATAGAGTGTAGATTTCCCCCTTTGAAAATTCTGAACACTTTTCAGGAGATGTAACTTAATCTATGCCAGTATTTTGGTCCCGTGTTTTTACCATATAGGAGTGCAGTGCCTGAGAACTTCTACAAAGCTGAAATAAGTCTTGGGCTTATATTTGAACTATCGTGTTATCCCTTCCATTGCAGCCAAGTAGGATCATAAGCAGAGCTAGGATCAGCTGTTAGTTTTAGGAGACAGCTACGGGGTGAAGATCATGAAGTTGGGTTCATGACCTCCTTCAAAAGTAGATGACCATCAAGTACCATTGCCTTTGCTGGTGCTTCCTCCACATTCACTTCTTGTTTCTTTGGAGGGCCAGTTGTTTTTCCTTAGTGCAGTGGTTTTCCTTAGTGCAACCTGTGGGACCCCAGATGTTTTGGCCTTCAGCTCCCAGAAATCTGAACAGCTAATAAACTGGCTGGGATTTCTGGGAGTTGTAGGGCAAAACACCTGGGGACCCACAGGTTGAGAACCACTGCCTTAGTGGGTCAGATTTGGCCATAAGTCCTTTCATTGCTTATTTCTGCAGTGAATCCTCAACCCTACTTGCATTATCTTTGCAAAAGCAATGGCAACCTACCAGCAAACATGGGAAAGTTCAAGAGCAGTGAGAGGAAAATGGCATAACAGGCTACAAGAATTGAGATATCTCAATCCTGTGCAGCAGTTCTTTGACATAGGCCAAGGGTATTCAAACTGTTGTCCTGTACATGCCACAATTGCCCAACCCTGAGTTAGATTGTAGGGCTCTACCAGGCCAGGAGATCATAGAATCTTAGAAATATTCCAACCAATTGACATCCAATTAAAACGCTCTTGAAAGCTTCCTATACAACCTATATTTTGGAACCCCCTGTGGTGCAGTGGGTTAAACCCTTGTGCTGGCAGGAGTGAAGACTGATAGGTCAGAGTTTTTAATCTGGGAAGAACACGGATGAGATCCTATTTCAGCTCCAGCTCACCATGTGGCGGGAACATGAGAGAAGGATGATAAAACATCAAGACATTCGGGCATCCCATGGGCAATGTTCTTGCAGACGGCCAGTTCTCTCACATCAGAAGTGACTTGCAGTTTCTTAAGTCGCTCCTGACATGAAAAAACAAACAAAAACAAAAACCTATATTTAAAGATCTTTCAAACAGCTCTTACAGTAAAGAATTGCATCCTAATGTTAAGGTGGAATATCTTTTCTTATAATTTGAATTTAGGAGAAAACAAAGTCCCCCTATCTTCTGAATGGCATCACTTCATGTATTTTAAGATAGCTTTCACCTCCTGTTAAGCTGTTACATCATAAAAAGCACAAGTCTCTTTTCTTAAGTCCCCTTTTCTTATTCCATTTTTCTGCAGGTGGTAACACTGTCAGAGTATGACCATGTAGAAGAAGAAACTAAAGAAAGTGCAAAGAAGTCTCCCTCTCCAGGTTACCCATTGATCTGTGTGACTCCTTGTGATCCTCACTTTCCCAAATACTCAGTTATGAAGGAGCGCTGCAATGAAGCAGGGATCAACCAATCATCCATACAGTTCAGCTGGGAAGTGGCAACTCCTACTGATGGAAATGGGGCCAGATCTCCCTTTGAAACAATTACGGACAACACTCCATTCACCAGTGTCAATCACATGGTATGTATGAAGGCCAAGAGTTGAACAACATGATCAGCAGAAGCAAATAGAGTGGATTTTATTGGACTGCACCTTGAAAGGATGGGATGCTGGATGTCATAGTGGAAACAAAAGGGTCAGGCTATATATTGAAATGCCTCTGTGTGTACATTATTCACATAGTGAACTACAAATGTTAGAGGTAACATAGATAAGCATACACTTTCATGCTACCAACTCTCTGGAACTAAGCTTATAGGTAAAGGTAAAGTTTTCCCCTGACATTAACTCTAGGGAGTGGTGCTCATCTCCATTTCTAAGTCAAAGAGCCGCTGTTGTCCATAGATGTCTCCAAGGTCATGTGATCAGCATGAATGCATGGAGCACCATATACCTTCCTGCTGAAGTGGTTCCTATATATCTACTCACATTTGCATGTTTTTGAACTGCTAGGTTGGCAGAAGCTGAGGCTAACAGTGGGAGCTCACCCCACTCTCCAGCTTTGAATTGCTACCTTTCAGTCAGGAAGTTCAGCAGCTCAGCAGTTTAACCCATTGCACCACTGGGGATGCCAAGCTTATATCAACTTTAAAATAGTGAACAATAAAACGTAATGTTCCTCTTATTTATCTTTGCTTTTATTGTGTTTCGATATTATTTCCCACCTATCCTCAACCAACCTGCTCAGGTCTTACAAAGACTCATGGCCATGGCTTCCTTGATTGAGACTATCCAGTCTTCCTCTTTTCCTACTGCCTTCTACCTTCCCAAGCATTATGGTAGAGTTTCGCTTATCCAACATAAACGGGCTAGCAGAATGTTGGATAAGCAAAAATGTTGGATAATAAGGAGGGATTAAGGAAAAGCCTATTAAACATCAAATCATGTTATGATTTTACAAATTAAACACCAAAACATCATGTTTTACAACTAATAGAAAAAAACAGTTCAATACATGGTAACATTATGTAGAAATTACTATATGTACGAATTTAGCACCAAAACATTACAATGCATTGAAACAGCTGTAGATCTGGACAGAAGGCAGACTGTGTTGAATAATACAGAACGTTGGATGAGTGAAGGTTGGATAAATGAGGCTTTACTATATTGTCTTTTCTAGCACATTATCTCTTCTCATGATATGGCCAAAGTATGACATTCTCAGTATAATCATCTCAGCTTCTCAGGAGTGTTCAGTCTTAATTTGATCTCCAATAATTAAGATTGCTATCCATTATTAGCTTTTAGTCCACACTTGAGTCCTGGTCTGGTTCGTTTATTTTCCTCCTTGGCTCTTCTCAGGTGCTGGACAGCATTTACTTCAGCCGGCGATTCCACGTGAGGTGTGTGGCCAAAGCTGTGGATAAGGTTGGCCATGCAGGCACACCACTGAGAAGCAACATAGTCACCATTGGGACAGACAGCGCCATTTGCCACACACCAGTGGTATCTGGAACAGCCCGGGGTTTCCAAGCCCAGTCGTTCATTGCCACATTGAAGTATCTGGATGTCAAACACAAAGAGCACCCCAACAGGTAGAGGGCAAGGGGACACAGAGCCTAATGGCCAGGTGGGCTTAGGAACATCCCACTACCCAGAGCTTGGCAACGGTACTACTTTGGACCACAGCTTCCAGTTTCCATGAAAGATCATGGCACCTTGTCCTACTGGTTGAATACATCTGGGAATTATATCCATATCAGTAACTTTGCCAAATCCTACTACTATTTAATGATTTTCTTCACTGAAATATCAAAGCAAGGCAAAGAAAAGTATAAGATGCATAGCTTCATATTGTCTTGATGTAGCAAAGAGAAAACCTGTATTGTCGAAGGCTTTCATGGCCGGAATCACTGGGTTGTTGTAGGTTTTTTCAGGCTATATGGCCATGTTCTAGAGGCATTCTCTCCTGATGTTTCGCCTGCATCTATGGCAAGCATCCTCAGAGGTAGTGAGGTAGAGGTAGCATTCTCACTACCTCTGAGGATGCTTGCCATAGATGCAGGCAAAACATCAGGAGAGAATGCCTCTAGAACATGGCCATATAACCCGAAAAAACTACAACCCAAAGAGAAAATCTGCTTTCTGATTTTTTTCTAATACAAGAAATATCAAAATATGACAGAACTGTTTGTATCTAAAAAGTCACTTTGTGAAAACTTTTTTTAATAGTAATCGATTTCACTTTTTAATTGTAGCATTTCTAGCACTTGAACATCTGGACATTGTTAATGAATTGCTTTTTGGTTGAAAACAAAGAGGGAAGCAAAAAAGGAGATAATTTTGGCAACAAAGTATCAAGGAAAGTGTGGGCAAAAATGTTTATTAAGTGTGTTAAATTTGATTATTCCATTATTTTTTGCAAGGAATGGAATACTGAGAAATATTTGAGGGCTCATAAGGCATTATTTTTCATCCTTCCCCTCTATACAACAATAGCTCTATGATCTCCCCAATTCCTGTACCCCACTTCTCCCTCTCACTGCACCTTGAAGGCACAATCCAGTAGGAAGAACATGATGTATCTAGGTGCACAACTTACCTTATCCTGAGCACAGAAGCCAAGGGTTGGTAGAGTTGTTCTACTGATGGAGCTGCTTCTGAAAAAAGAAGTAGAAGATTCTCCTTTTTTTGCTACCACCATCTCTTTGAATATAGGCCTGAACAAGTGACCTAAAGCATCTTGGGGCATGCACAGGGAAGTGAGCATTGATTTGTAAACCAGCTTAAGCACAAGCTTGTTTTCAGATATTCCATCTTCTGGATCAGAGTTCAAGGCCCCCTCTACACTGATGCAAAGCTAGCTTCAAATTTCTGTGGTAGAACATGAAACTACCACAAAAGTATCCAAAGAAAATCCTTAATGTGCATCAGTGCTCTGTGGTTTGTGTAATAGCCATCCAGGCCTCAAACTGGTCCCAGGATTTCCTGTGTAATCATCTGCACAGTGAAACCACTTTGAAACTGCATTAAATGGTCAATGTAGATGAGGTCTACAGTATATTCTGGCGTATAAGACTACTTTTTAACCCAAGCAAATCTTCTCAAAAGTCAGGGGTCGTCTTATACGCGGGTGTAGTCTTATGCATGGGAGTTGTCTTAACTCTATATTTTAACTGGAAAAGTTGGGGGTCGTCTTATACGCCCAGTCGTCTTATATGCCGGAATATACGGTAATTTGTACCTTATTAGATACTTGTGACATGTTTGTATTTTGTCTGGTGCATCCCCCTGTGCTTACTCAGCTTTTCATCTCTTTCTGGTACTAAAGGATCCATATCTCAGTGCAGATTCCTCACCAAGATGGAATGCTTCCACTCATCTCTACTATGCCGCTGCACAACCTGCATTTCCTCTTGTCAGAATCTATCTATAGGCACCAGCATGTCTGTTCCAACCTAGTCAGTGTCCAGGAGCTGAAAGGCATCTCAGGTAATGTGGATTAGGCAGCCATTTCTCTGCTAACAATCTGCAAGTTTAGAGCCAGATTTAATGGTGTTACTGGAAGGAGGGAGAGAGGGGAGACTGTATGGATAATACTGGTATAAATATACAGTATCATCAATTCTTATTCTTGTTCTGCTGAATGGAACCCAGAACCTAGTGTGAATGTCTCACTGGCTAGATAATGTAAAGTACTATATCTAGACAGGAAAAAAAATGAAATGAACAGATATAGGATGGGTTACACTTGACTTAAAAATAGTGACTACAGTTCGGGTCCAACCTATCTTCGATACTGCATCTCCTTCTATGAACTGGTGCAGGTGCTAAAATCTTCTGGGGAGACCCTCCTCTCAGTCCTACCTCCGTCTCAAGCATGATTGGTGATGGGAGAGAGGGCCTTCTCGGTGGTGTCTCCCTGTCTTTGGAATTCCCTTCCTAAAGAGATTAGGGTATTTATTTATTCATTTGGAGTGCTTCTACCCCGCCCTTCTCAACCCCCTAGGGGGGACTCAGGGCAGCTTACAAAAGGCACAATTCGATGCCCAGCAGTTCACAAAATACAATATAACAACAACAGTTATAACTAGTTAAAACAGTCAAATTAATACAATAGCAGCAATAAAATCATCTTGTGGTAGCTCCCAATCTTCACATTTTCTGAAAACACGTGAAACCATGGTATTTAAAACAAGCTTTTGACCATGTTTACGGATTATGACGTTAATCACTATATTTGAGGACTTAGTGAGTGTTCACTTCCACATGTTATGTTGTTGTTGTTCATTCGTTCAGTCGTCTCCGACTCTTCGTGACCTCATGGACCAGTCCACGCCAGAGCTCCCTGTCGGCCGTCACCACCCCCAGCTCCTTCAAGGTCAGTCTAGTCACTTCACATGTTATGGGGAACTGATATTGTACAGAGCCACTGTTTTAGGTATAATTGGGGCACTTTCATTGTTACTACTTTTACCTTTTGGTATTTTGCTCTATTTGTATTGTGTTGCACTATTGAGTACTGTACTTTCTGTGAGCCACCACAGGTCCCTTTGGGAAGATGGTGGCGGGATACAAATAAAGTTGTGTTGTTGTTGTTGTTGTTGAAAGGAATATAGGAGTCTTAGTAGACCACAAGCTATACACAAATTAATACCACTAGGAAGAATTTCCTGGTGGGTAAAGCTGTTCAGCAGTAGACTGTTCTGCCTTAGAATAGAATGGAGTCTCATTCCTTGAGGTTTTCAAATAGAGGCTGAATTTCCATCTGTCAGATGGCTCTGAATATATATTTCTGCATGTAAGGGGTGTTGGGCTAGATATCTCTTGTCATTATCTTCCAACTCTATGATTCAGTGATTCCAGAAAGCATCATTACAGGGTGATGATGACAGGGGATGGCCTTGTTAGTCTCTTTATTTGACTGTTGGCCATCTTTTATCATGCCACCATATCTCTGCAATGATTGCTGAGTAGAGACAGTCTTTGCCAAATCCAGTAAGGCACCGTTTCTATCCTGGCAACTTCTACACGACAGGATGCTGAAAATGGTGCAGTGTGAAGTATATATTTAAGTGGTAGACCAGAAGCAGCTTTGGCATAACATAGAAAAGTTCAGTGACTTCTCTTCCTTCCATCCCAGAAGCTGGATTCCTGGATGAAGTGACCTACAACAGTCTCATTCTGGGGCCTGGATATGACCGGGCATACCAGTTTGACCCCAACGTGAGAGAGCCAAAGACGATCCAGCTTTACAAACATCTGAACCTGAAGAGCTGCATTTGGACTTTTGATGCTTACTATGACATGACAGAATTGATTGATGTCTGTGGAGGATCCGTCACTGCAGACTTCCAGGTAATGGTCTTCATTTGGGGTCCCTCCAGACGACTGTCAGTCAAGGGAAATTCATCTACTATGCTTAAGGGGAGAGACGACTGCAGACTTTAGGAACTTTAGCTATCCCAGTGTTTTCACATTACAGCTCCCAGTATCCAAGCCAATTTAGGGCGCTGCTGAGATGAATGGGACCTAAAGTCACATCTATAGGGACAGATATTCCCATCTTGTATGCTCCTGACAGGAAATATTAGTAGAACTGCATGCCTTTCAGCCAGCAATGAGCTGGATCCTGAGATGAGTCAAAATAAGGATAATCACAAATTAAGAGACCCTCAGTAATAATGAAGAAACCAGATTTACTGAGCAATATTAAAAGACTTTTTTCACCCTTCACCTCAATAATAATTGTCTATTAGGATGGAAAGATAGATGGGCACCTGGGCACCCAGCCATGCTTGCTTTAGATAATTATGCAAATGGAATGCATCTAGAATTTTATGATTAACTTCAAAATTTACCCCCTTTCTATCATAGAAGGGAGATGGCTTAGTTCTGTCACATAACATGAAAATGTGCTAAAAGGGATAATCACACTTTGAATTATAAAGTATAGTCGGTTCTTTGGTCACTTATTTAATTTTTCAAAAGACCTTTAGAAGGAATTGTGACTTCACGACTGGCAGGTCACATTTTCCATTGACATGTGTGGTCTCCATTTTTTCTGGCTCTCAGAACTCTAACTGATTAGCTGCATTTGGAGGAAATAATGTGCTAAATTGAACTGGTATGAATACAAAACACTTGAGGACAACTTAATAATGTAATTTATTTATTTATTTACTATATTTATATCCTGCTGTTCTCAACCCCAAAGAGGACTCAAGGCGGCTTTACAGATAGGGAGCAGCAGCAACAACAACAACAACAATCATCTATCTATATAAATAAAAATGTAATGTTCGTTTGTGAGATTAACAGAACTCAAAAACCATTGGACGAATTGACACCAAATTTGGACACAAGACACCTAACAAGCCAATGTATGCCACTGACTTAAAAAAATTGATTTTGTCATTTGGGAGTTGTAGTTTCTGGAATTTATAGTTCACCTACAATCACAAAGCATTCTGAACCCCACCAACGATGGAATTGAACTAAACTTGGCACACAGTTCTCCCATGACCAACAGAAAATACTGGAAGGGTTTGGTGGGCAGTATCCTTTGGTTTTGGAGTTGTAGTTCACCTACATCCAGAGATCACTCTGCACACAAACAATGATGGATCTATACCAAACTCTACACGAATATCCAATATGCCCAAATGTAAACACTGGTGGAGTTTTGGGAAAATAGAATCTTGACATTTGGGAGTTGTAGTTGCTGGGATTTATAGTTCACCTACAAACAAAGAGCATTCTGAACCCCACCAACGATAGAATTGGGCCAAACTTTTCACACAGAACCCCCATGTGGGCCACAGCAACGTGTGGCAGGGGATGGCTAGTCTATATAAATAAAAATGTAATGTTTCATTTGTGGGATTAACATAACTCAAAAAGCCACTGGATGAATTAGATATATATGATTTGCACACAGAGAGATATAGTATCCTAGATTTGAAAGGGACCCCTAAAGAAGGACAATGATATGTTGCCTGTTCCAGAGTAGGTAAATCAAACAATCTCTACATCAACACTGACAAAGAAACAGCAAGAAATACTGCTTACCCACAAGCAGAAAGAAATTACATGTATTAGAAACCAACACTTTCACATTACTTTATTTTCCAGATCACCAGACTGGGCCACAGCAACGCGTGGCAGGTGACGGCTAGTCTATATAAATAAAAATGTAATGTTTGTTTGTAAGATTAACATAACTCAAAAACTACTGGATGAATTGACACCAAATTTGGACACAATACACATATTAGGCCATTGAGTGACCATCACACACAAAAACACTGAAAAACACAGCAGAAGAGACTTAAAAAGTTAAAAAATACATTACAACGCATGTGCAAAACCACATATATATACGCAAACACACGTAGACACAAATATATATATATATATATATATATATATATATACACACACACACAAAACACATATACACAGACTGGGCCACAGCAAAACATGGCAGGGAGTGGCTAGTAATAATAAAAATTTATTTCTAGACTACCCACTCTCCCCAGAAGTATGAAGGGTGGTTTACACATAAAAAGGCAAACATTAACTGCCTCAAAATAAATTGAGATAAATCACCTTCCTTATCTCAGCTGCTTCAACCTTCCAAGTTTCTACTTGAAGGCTCAAACTAGTAAAGACACCTTAATTCAGCTTTCATTGAAAGTGGCACATTATCTTTTATTTACATAAATATACAAGACAACCTTCAATCATGTCCGCTCACATCTTGGCACACTGCAAGAAGCACATTCCTTTCTTATCACTCCTTCATCGGCCAGCACAGGAAACTCCAAAAGCGACACTCTGCCAATACTGCACATCTCTGAAACCACACAGTTTAAACTATAAGCAGTGTTCATCCCATATGACACTACATACTAACAAAATAGGTACAGACACACCTGTGAAGGAGGTGGGACCGAGAGCAGGGCCTCTTCAGACAATCTTAGTCTCCAAGATGGTTCATAGGGGGAAATATGTTTGGATAGGTAAGTTGGGCTGGAACCGTTTAGAGCTTTATAGCCTAAAGCCAGCACTTTGAATTGTTCTCGGTAGCAGACTGGCAATCAGTGGAGCTGACACAACAGGAGGGATGTCCTCTCTCTAGTGAGCAATCTGGATACCGCCTGTTGGACCACTTGATGCTTCCGAACAGTCTTCAAAGGCAATCCCATGTAGTAGTCTATTCGGGATGTAACAAGAGTATGGACTGCCGTGGCCCAGTCTGACTTCTCAAGCTACGGGCTCAACTGCCGCACAAGTTTTAATTGTGCAGAAGCTCCCCTGGCCACCATCGAAATCTGGAGTTCCAGGCTCAGCAATGAGTTTAGGAGGACACCAAGTTGCAAACCTCCATCTTCAGGGGGAGTGTAACCCTGTCCAACAAAGGCTGTAACCCTATACCCTGTTTGGCCTTGTGACTGACAAGGAGTACCTCTGTCTTCAAATGTAAGTATCATAATTGTCTTTTCCCTCCTTATGTCTTGTTAGGTCAGAGATTCTGCTCAATCCTTTCTGACAGTCCATGTCCCCCTGTATGTTTCCTACATTTACGTAACTGCTCCTAGAGGATGGGCCTCCCTTGAACATCACACTGAGATGGAATTTTCCTTCTTCTATGACACTGTACTCTGGAGAACAGGTAAGTGGCCATTTCTCCCCTTTATCTTTCTGATGTGATCTGCGGGTGTGATATCATTCTCCTGCGAAGCTGAGCAAGCCCTGATCTGAATGGTTCACTAAGAGACTTTGCTACCTTGTATCCCACCATAGAAGTAGAACAAATAAGTAGAACTGGGATAGACTTTTTGGTTTGTGAGGATCCACCTTCCAGAATCCCTCACTCAAAATGACCACTTGGGGGATTCTGGAAGTTGTGGTCCATAAACACACTTTCCCAATTTGTGCAATATAAAACAAGCAAATTAGTAGTAGCAAACAATGTATGTTTATTGAGAGACTGTGTTGATATTGGCTTACTCACTAGCAAATATGTTCAGAATGATTTGAATGTAAATAAACATCGTCCAAATCCAAATAGTAAAGTTGAAAGAGGAATGTACGAATAACAAGGTAGCTGGATCTTCTCTACAGATATAAATCTGGTTTACTTACTACAGATATCAATCTGGTTAATACTATAGATTGATCTTCTTGCAATATCTGGTTGAATTTGGTTCACAGCTCTTCTTCACATGTTGCCTCCTGCAGGTATTCAGACAGACAGTGTCCTTTCAGCCAGGCTACAGATCATAAGGATCTACATCCGAGAGGATGGCCGGCTGGTCATTGAGTTCAAAACTCACGCCAAGTTCAGAGGTGAGTACTTTCTGCAAGGTTCAGGAAGAGCATCATGCTTTGTGTTTTGCAATTTCTATCCCTTTATGTGTCTAGACACTGACTGTAGATTGTTCAGGTCAGAAAGAAGGCATTATCCACATTTTCAAATGCCTCTTTAGTAATCCTAGAATGATACCCTGCAACCCATAGATAGCCAAAAAGTTACATTCTGTTGAGATTAAATTCTGGAAATATTAAGGTAGATGGTACAATTATAAATATGAATTTCGGGATCATGTGAGCCTCACAATGTTAAAGGTAAAGGTTTCCCCTGAAATTAAGTCTAGACATGTCCGACTCCGGGGAGTAGTGTACATCTCCATTTCTAAGCTGAAGAGCTGATGTTGTCATGACACCTCCAAGGTCATGCGGCTGGCATGACTGCATGTAGTGCCATTACCTTCCCACAGAAGTGGTACCTTTTGATCTACTGACATTTGCATGTTTTTGAACTGGTAGGTTGGCAGAAGCTGGACCTAACAGCAGGAGTTCACCCTGCTCCCTGGCTTTGAACTGCCAAACTTTCAGCCAGCAAGTTCAACAGCTCAGCAGTTTAACCTGCTGCACCACCGGGGGACTCAAAATGTTGGCATGTCTAAATAGAGAGGTCAAAGAACAATGGCCATTTTCCCCTTCCTTGGTATACAGATAATAATATTGCAATTACTCTGTTATACTGGAGATTTTGGAAAATTGGTGCAGGTCATCTAATTTATTTCCAGAACAGGCTCAGAACTCACCATCTCATGAGTCCATTTTGAACATTCTTCTGCCCTTTCCAGAGTCCTCCTTCCCAAAGCTCACCGATCCCTCTGAAATTTTACGTTTTTAATGAGCAATTTTTCAAGACTCAAAAATGGGAAATATTGAGCTTTGCACCAAGGTTCCCAAGTAGTATTAAAATTTGGGTGTTTTTAAATGGCCATAGTAACTTGGGTCAGGAGCTCCCGGCAGGACTGCTGAACAAAAGGCTGGCAGTTCAAATCTGGGGAGTGGGGTGAGTTCCCATTTATCAGCCCCAGCTTCCCCTGCAGGGACATGAAAGAAGCCTCTCACAGGATGGTAAAACATCCGGGCGTCCCCTGGGCAATGTCCTTGCAGACAGCCAATATTTCACACCAGAAGCGATTTGCAGTTTCTCAAGTTGCTCCTGAGACACACACAAAACTTGGGTCAAAGAAATGAAACTGTTATGACAGCTGTAGCACAGCTGGTTAATCGCCAGCAGCAATAGATAATTGCCAACCAGAAGGTGGCAAGTTTAAAGCCTGAGTTGGATTGAGCACCCAACTGTTAAGCCTAGCTTACTGCCCACCTAAGCAGTTCAAAAATAGGTGAGCTTTGAGTAGAGAAATTAGGCACCGCTTAAAGTGGGGAGATATTTTACGGCCCCATGAAAATGCCAGCGATAAAAGAACAAGGAAATACAACTATCGAAAGGACTTAGTGGCATAGTGGACGAAGCAACAGCATCCCCCTGTGGCTGACATCGAGCATAATCTCCAGGCGTCGAAGTTAGAAAATGCTGAAATACCTCCATCTGTCTGTCTGTCTGACTTCCTTGTATGTCTAAAAATGGCTTTGGGTGTTTTCCGTGTATGTGTGCATTGTGATCCACCCTGAGTCCCCTTCGGCATGAGAAGGGTGGAATATAAATACTGTAAATAAATACTGTAAATAAAATCAATGTGTGTGTGTATGTGTGCTCGTTTACTTGATGTGTGTATTTATATAAATTGAGTGATATTTGTCTTATCAACCATTAATATTTCCTGTCTCCACAGGACACTTTGTGATGGAACATCATACTCTTCCTGATGCCAAGTCTTTCATAATGACACCCGATCACCTGGGAGGGATTGAGTTTGACCTGCAGCTTTTATGGAGTGGCCAAACTTTTGACTCCCCTTATCAGCTCTGGAGGGCAACCAGCTCTTACAGCAGGTACAAAAGACAACTACAAGCCATCTTGAAAATTGATTCAGACAGCCAGTTGGGCAGTATAGGATGGCAATGGTGATGTACCGGAATGTGTGTGGCTGTGGAAATGAGTAGATAATCAGGGGTAGAAGCATCCTTAATGGCTTCTCTCTAACCTGCTCCTCAGAGCAGAGCCTTTGAGCATAGATCTCCTCAGAGAAAAAGCTCTCCAGAACTGTATTCTAAAAACCCATACAGTTATACCTTATCGGGTGTGGTCCAAGATTGCTGGTTGACCTGCATTACCAGCTGTACATAATAATTACCATAATAAGGTTTTTCTTCAACATGCACACACTTGGTCCTGCTACAACTTACTGTAACAACCCTGACCCGGCTTCGAACTGGCAGCCTTTCAACTGACAAGATTGACTATAGCTGGTGGTTTAACTTGCTGTGCATGACTTTTGTGATAAATACTTTTTTGAGTGATTATTGTCCTTTTCACTCAGAAACCCAGTGCTACCTGCTAGGCCAGTATTTCAAAATACGGAGAGACGATGAGCCCTTCAACCTGAACACTCTATTAGATTGCCAAGGGAGTATGAGCAGAAGGGAAAGCTGTTGACAGCACTCATTAAATTAGTGGATGTGGGCCTGAATGAATGGTTGAGCAGCAACCAAACAATTTTCTTCAGAATTTTCTAGTATAGAATAAAATTAAAGTGAAACGACTTCCGTTACTGATATTTCTTATGGGCTCATGCGGTTCTTATACTTGCTTCATTCTTCCAGAGGAATGTGCAAAAAGGTCTTTCTAGGAACTCTAGGAGAAATTGTAAATTTGGTGCAGCTGACTGGGAGTCAGCTGCATTAAGATCACTACTGATCGAAAGGTCATGAGTTCGAAGCCAGCCCGGGTCAGAGTGAGTTTCCGACCAATTTGTGTAGCTTGTTGTCGACCTTTGCAGCCTGAAAGACAATTGCATCTCTCGAGTAGGAAATTTAGGTTCCGCGTATGCGGGGAGGCTAATTTAACTAATTTACGACGCCATAAAAATCTCCAGCAAGCATGCAAAGAATGAGGAAGTACTTCATCCGTGTCACAAATGGACGGCGAAGTGACAGCTCCCCTGGTGGCCACAATACCCTCATCCAAAAAATAAAACTGGAATGTTAAATAGCCTCTGTGTGTCTGTCTATCTATCTTGTGTCTATGGCACTGAATGTTTGCCAAATATATGTACACTGTAATCTGCTCTGAGTCCCCTGCGGGGTGAGAAGGGCGGTATATAAATACTGTAAATAAATAAATAAAATTGGTGGCCTTGTATTATATTATATTTCAATTTCTACTGTTTTGACCATCAACCACACTTTCAAGGCTGATGAGAACTGAAGTGCGGAAGATTTGAAGACTGGGTGTTATTGTATTATATTACAATTCCTGTTGTTTTGACCATCAACCACGCTGTCAAAGCTAATGAGAATTGAAGCATGGAAGATTTGAAAAAAATTAAAAACATTTGAATGCAATTTTCCTGCTTCTTGGTGGGGGTTGGGCTGGATGGCCCACGAGGTCTCTTCCAATTTTATGATTCTATGATTTCATTATACAGTAAGACCTCTGTAATTACGGGATCCATATCCATGGTTTCATTTTCAAGAGAATACTCTTTTTCCATAAGCATTAAAAAGGAGACACAAATGTCACTCATGTCTTCTCTCCAGGGCACATCCAGCTGATGTCCAAAATTGACCTTAGTCCTTCTGACTTGACTTTCTGCCATAGCCTCTGTGTGGTCAGATAGCTTTGGACTGTTATTTGTTCTTAACCCTGAAGCCTCTCCTGTTTCTGTGTTTGTTTTCAATCTGTCTAGCTTTCAAACGAATGAGCATTTTGCCTCTTAAGCAAAGGCCTTTGGAGTATAAGCACGTCAGAAACCATTACACTAAATATTTCTCCATTTCCAGGAAGGACTACTCCGGAGAATACACCATCTACTTAATCCCTTGTACAGTGCAGCCTACACAGTCGTGGGTTGATCCAGGAGACAAGCCTTTACCCTGCACTGCCCATGCTCCAGAAAAGTAAGGAGGAGTTTATCTAATTCATAACTTCAATTACCGTATATACTCGAGTATAAGCCGACCCAAATATAAGCCAAGACACCTAATTTTACCACAAAAAAAAAAAACAAACAGGGAAAACTCATTGACATGAATATAAGATGAGGGTGGGAAATGCAGTAGCTACTGCTAAATTTTAAAATAAAATTAGATTAATTTTTATTATTTATTTTATTTCAAGTATTCATACCCCACCCTTTTCTACCCCCGAAGGGGGACTCAGGGCGGCTTACAGCTGGCAACAATTCGATGCCTCCCATATACACTCAGATAAAACAGCAATTACAAAATAGATAAAACATTAATATAAATTAAAACCATTTAAAATAGTGCAAATTCAATTAGTTGGCCAAATCTAAATCTGAGTTCAACAACTTGGTCCGAAGCCTGTCCATAGTCCATTTACCATAGCATTGTCATCATTTATCAACTTACTATCCAAATGCCTGGTCCCATAGCCACGTTTTCAACTTTTTCCTGAAGGACAGGAGGGAAGCAGTTGACCTAATTTCGCTGGGGAGTGAGTTCCACAAGTGGGGGGCCACTGCCGAGAAGGCCCTGTCTCTTGTCACCTAATATCTAATAATATCTAATAATGTAATTTTATTAGATACTAATAAAATTACATTAAAAGAGACATCATTAGGTTAATTTTTTTATGTTTACCGTATTTCAAAGAAAAACAGTAAGCTAGCTCTGTAAGTGGAAAAGTAGGGTCAACAAAAACAATATGGTATCAACAATAATTGTATAATATTAACAACAATAAGAATAGACTGAATTTGTATCCTGCCCTATCTTCCTATGGGGACTCAGGCCGGCTTCCAACATAGTAAAAGGCAAACATTTAGTGCCTATATAAACAATGCAGTGCTAGATATAGATCTATAATTATATATAATAATTTCACATATTCATTTCCCCCTGAGACATTTGCAATTCCTCTTTCTCTATATGTGCATTCCTCCTGCAATATCTGCAAGCCCTATATATCTATATCCATATATAGACATCTCTCGATATATAGGTAATTATATGTATCTAGGATTTGCAAAGACTTGCAAACATGTGAGGGGAAAATACATATATAAAATTATATATACACAGAGAGGTATACAGTATATAGGTACCTCCATATATTTATTGATATCTGTATAAGATTTGCAGTGACTTGTAAACGCGTGAGGGGAAAATTTGTATAAAAATAATGTATACATAATAGATACAGATATACAGGTGCATGGAAATCTCTAGATATCTATATGTATATAAGATTTGCAAAGACCTGCAAACATATGAGGGGAAAACTTCAACGGAGAACAAAAATGCATACAAGTAAATAAAGTGAATACATTTAGTTACACACAAAAAAGCCAGGAAATTGGGTGGGTTTGAAAGAGAGCCATACAAACAAGGATGACATGAAATACATCTCCTTTCCATTTTTCTCTCCCTTTTGACTGGAAAAGAAAACACACTGTCAAGGGAGGTGAAGAGGAGAGAGAAATCTATATAAATAAAAATGTAATGTTTGTTTGTAGGATTAACATAACTCAAAAACTCATAACTCATAAGACCGGGCAAATTGACACAAAATTTGGACACTACACCCCTAACAAACCAACGAGTGATCACCACTCATAAACCCCTCCCAAAAAATAGTGGAAAAGACTTAAAAATCCAAAAAAGCTAAATGATGATACAGCACATGTGCAAAAACAATAGCTCCCAACATCCCCAAGACCAGGTCGTCTAGGGGAGGAGGATGCTCCAAATGCACTGCTTCCAAGCTGCAAGCTTGCTTCTCTTTGGATTTCTTTGAGAGCGCCCCAATCCGTACATATTTCCTATTTCTGGGCTGAAACTCCCAGCAAATCCTCCAGATAGATAAGATATATAGATTAGATAGAGATCAATAGTAGGTAGACAGATCAGTCAGGATTGCTGGGAGTTACAGTCCAAGAATAGATAGAGAGGGAAGAAAGGAAAGAAAGAAAAATAGGGGAAGGAAGGAAAGAGGTAGAGAAGGAAGGAAGAAAGGATAGATAGAAGGAAAGAGGGTGGGAGAGAAAGAAGGAGAGAAAGACGGAGCGAAAGGAGAGAAAGAGAGGGGGAAGATTGGCCACAGCAACGCATGGCAGGTATTATTTATTTATTATTTATTTACTTCATTTATATACCYCTTTTCTCAGCCCTTAGGTGACTCAAGCGGTTAACAACAGCAAAAATTCAATGCTAAACATCATAAAAACAGTTAAGGGACAGTTAAAACAGTAGCATAATAAACAATTACGAATCAATATAARAAATCATTAGTGTCTCATCAGTAGAATCAAGATCCAATCTCATCATCCYTTATTCCGTGTTCCTATATTCATTACACTGCCTAATCAAATGCCTGCTCGAACAACCAGGTCTTCACTTTCCTCCAAAATGCCAATAGGGAGGGGGCRGATCTAATATCTGTAAGAAGGGCGTTCCACAGTCGAGGGGCCACCACTGAGAAGGCCCTGTCTCTCGTCCCTGCCAGGCATGCCTGTTTTGCAGGCGGGACTGAGAGCAGGGCCTCCCCGGATGATTTTAATGTCCTAGCTGGTTCATAGGAGCAGATGTGTTCAGACAGGTAAGTTGGGCTAGAACCGTTTAGGGCTTTATAGGATAACACCATCACTTTGAATTGTGCCCGGTAGCAAACTGGTAGCCAGTGGAGCTGGCGCAACAGAGGAGTTGTATGCTCCCTGAGTGCCGCTCCTGTTAGTATCCTGGCTGCCCGAGCGTTGGACCATTTGAAGCTATACTAGGGTTCAACTAGTATATCATATTTTGCAAGCAATTGCCTCCAGGCTCTGCTGCCTGGTCTTGACCCCATTATAAGCCAATGGAGGCTTTTCCAACTAAAAAAGGGCTGAAAAACTTGGCTTATATATGGTACCATGCTTATTTTAAAAAGAAAAAAAAACAAGAGGGAAATTTGAGAGCAATCCTGTGAATAGAAAACAAGGGTGTTTGCCCCTTCTCCTCCCTCCCTCCTTCTTGGCATTGATAAGAGAAGCTTAAAAAGGAGCTGTACTAATTTTCAGCATTTAGACGTTAGTCAGAACTGCAGGTTTGCATTAGAAACATGTGGTAATTGCTGTTTGACAGTGAAATGTTCTGCCTTTGATCAGGGTGGAATATTTTTTTGCCCTGTTTTTCAAATCTATTATCTGGAGCAGCAGAAAACAAGTTTGCTCCACCTTCAATATGAAATCCTTGAATGAGTCCAGTCCTGGTGGAAAGGCATGCCTGGGGCTCTCCAGTGTAATTTTGAAAGTGTTTTATTGACCAACTCTCTTTATTTCTTTTCTTTCCCCTTTAGATTTTTGATCCCAATTGCTTTTCAGCAAACTAACCGGCCGGTGCCTGTGGTATATTCTCTGAATACCGAGTTTCAGCTCTGCAATAATGAGAAAGTGTTTTTGATGGACCCAACCAAATCAGAAATGTCAATGGCGGAGATGGACTACAAAGGAGCATTTTCAAAAGGTGTGATTTATGCTTCCTTGTTGAACTTCTCTCATACCGGTGTACCATTACATCCAACAGAACTGCAAAAGGTTTTAGGTGGAGTGATATACAGTGGGCTGAATTGATATGCTTTAGATTGAATTGCGGTATAAAAGAAATGGAGCCTTGGCTGCTAAAGCCAAAGATTCACATACCACCAGTTTTATAGCAAGACATCTCTCACATGGAATAATGAGAAAGTTTTTGGTCTCCTCCAGATTGACAGGCAATTTGAAGGCACACAAACAGCTATGCTATTTGGTACTGAATAGACAGCCAGTCAAGAACGGATTAAGACATGTGCAGGACCTAAAGTGTGTCAAGCTTAAGTATTCCCACAGCATTATTATTTAAATATGTGTATTATTCCCATGTAGATTTCTCACAAAGATATACCATATAGTGCATGCAGCTTTACGTTTTTGCAAGTGGCACACTATATATTTCATCATTTTATCAATTTTAGATAAACTATTTTATGTCATGCTTTTGACATATATTTTATGTCAAAAGCATGACCTAAAATAGTTTATCTAAAATTGATAAAATAAAGGGATCACGAGCTGCTAGATAGTTTTAGACCAAAAACAGGCAACAGTGACTGCATGGACTGTAGCTTTAAACAATTTTTTGTCTGTGCATGAGGCAGGGCATTGTGGGCAAGCATACAGGTGCTAAGTTGTTTGTTCTGCTCCACAGTCACACAAGGGGGAGGATTCTTCTAGGTAATGCCATTTTGCCAGGTTATCTTTTGATTTGCTGCTTCTGAATCTGTTCAGGGAATTTCAAGTTGGTTTGACCCTGGAAGAAGGCCCCTCGTAGAAGGCCATCCAGTTGGAATTGCCTGATTTTGCTGCCCACAGAGATATTCTAGCTGTTGCTGGAGGAACATTTAGAGGAGTGGTGGTTCTCATGAAACTTTTACTTGATTTAAGTCTACTGGGTGGAGGCTGATAGCCATATAGTGGGTGGTTTTCGCAATGTTCAACCTTATTTCTCTCGCAATTGGCAGCAAATTCCCATCGCACATCGGGGGCAATGCCAGCTAGCTTACAGAGTCTATCAACAGGTGTAGGTTTAAGACATCCTGTGATTATTCTGCATGTCTCATTTAGCACTATATTTACCTGCTTGTGGGCAGATTTATGCCAGACGAGCAGGCATATTCAGTAGTTGGGTAAGACAAGGCCAGGGCTGATATTCTTATTAATTTTGAGTCTGCACCCCATGCGCTGCCAGTAAGTTTTTGCATGCAGCTACTTTGTGCTTGGAATTCATACAGTGTTTCCTAAATGTTAGCATTCGATCTAAGGTGATGCTGAGGTATTTAGGAACAGTGTTCAAGCTCTTGGCCTTCCCAGGTAACCTTCAATTTCTTGTTGGCTCCATGATGACATAGATGGAAAGCACACACTTGGGTCTTGGCAGGGTTAGGCTTCAGGTGGCTATCTTTGAAGTAAGTGGAGAGTTCTTTCAGGGCATTAGGAAGTTGGTTTTCAACTGTTTCAAAGTGTTTTGCTTGTGTTGTTAGGCCAAGGGCATCAGTATATATACAGCTCTTTGTGAGTGGTGGTTGTGGCTGATAATTAGCAAAGATGTTAAACAAGGTCAGTGCAAGAATGCTGCCTTGAGACCGTTCTTTTGCCGCCTTCATCTACTTTTCCTGCCCTGAAAATCCACATAGAAGCTGTGGTTTTCTAGGAAGGTCTGGATGTTTTTTGTAAAATCGTAGTCCTGGGTGGTATGGTAGACTTTGTGCAGCAACTTCCTAAGTTGTACCATGTCATAGGTGGCTGTAAGGTCACAAAAACAGTTCCTGTAATGCAACCTTTCTCATAGTCTAAGGCATCCAGAATCTTGCATCACATTGTCAAAATCATGTTGTCCCCATGGTGGTTGCATGAATAGTAGCAACCAGTGATGATCTTATGGTGTGTAGGAACTTCTGAGAGCTGCTTAATTGAATGTCAGCCTACTGAAAGAAATTAAAAAAATAGTACAATGGTTTGCTTGAATCTGATGACAGAGACAAGTGTTACTCTGAGTAATTTCATTTCTTTGGCCCATTTTGAATGGTGACAGCTTGAATACTTCTCATTCTGGTGTTTTTCCTCTCCTTAGGTCAAATCCTATATGGCCGAGTCATGTGGCATCCTGAACAAAACCTCAACTCAGCCTACAAGCTCCAGCTGGAAAAGGTCTACCTTTGTACTGGAAAGGATGGCTACGTGCCCTTCTTTGACCCAACAGGAACCATCTATAATGAGGGACCACAATACGGCTGCATCCAACCCAGCAAACACCTAAAGCACAGATTTCTGTTGCTGGTATGTCCTGCCATTCTGGCTTCCTTGGGAGAGGCTTTGAGCTGTGAATCCTTTGGTCCTTGAAATGGATATGGACAGCCATTGCAGCAGTCCTACTGTGCCGGCAGGACTGAAGACCGACAGGTCGCAGGTTCGAATCCGGGGAGAGGCGGATGAGCTCCCTCTATTAGCTCCAGCTCCTCATGCGGGGACATGAGAGAAGCCTCCCACAAGGATGATAAAACATCAAAAATCATCCAGGCGTCCCCTTGGCAATGTCCTTGCAGACGGCCAATTCTCTCACAACAGGAGCGGTTGCTCCTGACATGACCAAAAAAAAAAAAAAGCTATTGCAGCATATATTTGACAGAAACTTGTTGGTCATTCGTTCAGTCGTTTCCGACTCTTTGTGACTTCTTGGACCAGCCCACACCAGAGCTCTCTGTCGGTTGTCACCACCCCCAGCTCCTTCAAGGTCAATCCAGTCACTTCAAGGATACAATCCATCCATCTTGCCCTTGGTCGGCCCCTCTTCCTTTTTCCTTCCATTTTCCCCAGCATAATTGTCTTCACTAAGCTTTCCTTTCTTCTCATGAAGTGGCCATGTTTTGGTCATGTTTTTGTTTTGACAGAAACTGGGACGCTGAAAATGTTGCAGAGGGTTGTATTGCAAATTCCAGAACCACCAAACAGGTTGGCCATGCTGGCTGGAGGATTCTGGCAGTTGTAGTAACTTTCCCAAACTTTGAGCAAGATGGTAAAAGCTCTTTAGAGAAGGAATGGCCAAGCTTTTTTCTTGAAAACCCTATAGCAGTGTTGGGCATGGCCAAAGGCTGCCAGCATGCATCACCTTCCTATCCCAATCATTTGTTGTATTACACATCCACACTCAAAATACACATACACAAATTTAACTCCATTGAGATTTTCACATGCATATTCACATCATTCACTTTCTCCACTCATAGCCAGCTATTCACACACAATTTTCCAATCCTCCTCCAATACATTGTGATCTCCTGCTCTACATCTCCTTCTCATTGCTGAGCTAAATTGAATTTTTCCCAAAGCGGCTGAGCTGGGCAATGGGGAACACTGTGCCATTTAAATGATGAGAATGATGCACTTTTTTTGCTCTGATTCTCCTATCCTAGTTTCCTCAGCTATCCTGTCAAATAGCTACAGTAACTACTCCTTTAACATGTGTTAACACAATGCAAATTGGCAATAGCACGATTAGTTAACAGGCAAATATAATTTGTTTTCTTAATGTTTCAGGACCGGAATCAACCAGAAGTGACTGACAAATATTTCCATGACGTACCTTTTGATGCCTGTTTTGCCTCCGAGTTGTCAGATCTGTACCTGGTCAGCAGCATGCCTGGAGTGGACGGCTTCACCATGAAAGTGGATGCACTCTATAAGGTGGGTAGGATACCAGTTAGCATCCATATTGAAGCTTATTGTTTAAAAAAAATGTCACTGGAGACTCTAGTTCTCCTTTGTTGATGTGAGGAAATAGCTACAATTCCCCTGCATGTGTCCACCCCTGCTTTAGTGAGTCTTGTAGCCTGCTCTTTAATTTTATTTATTTATTTATTTATTTAGAGTTTTTATAATCCGGTCTTCTCGACCTCCGAGGAGGGACTCAGGCCGGCTAACAACATAAGATTCAATACAATAAGAAAAACATTATAAATCATCACTATAAAATACATTAAAATACAATTCATACAATTCATACAAGTTACAGCAAAAATCTGTTCGTCAGAATGAATCACAAATTTATCGCCATCCGTCAGAAAGGTCAGCAGTTATTGACTCCGTCATCATTCTGCAAATGCAGTATCCCAAAGCCATGTCTTTACCAGCTTTCTAAACGTCAGGAGGGAAGAGGCAGATCTAATCCCCATCGGGAGGGAGTTCCAAAGCCAAGGGGCCACCACTGAGAAGGCCCTGTCCCTCGTGCCCACCAAACAAATATAGTAAATATACAAATATGGTAAATATTTATTTACTATATTTGTATGCCACCCTTCTCAGCCCTCAGGCGACTCTGGGCGGTTTACAGAGACAATGATTCGATGGCCAAGAACATTATAAAACATTTAAAACATTAATACATAGTATAAAGCCCTACAAAAGTAATAAAAACATTAGCCATTTGTGTCTCCTAATAAAAAACATTATCCATCTCATCATCCAGTTGTTCCAAGTTCCTATGTCTTTTACATTGCATTTTCAAACACCTGCTCGAACAGCCAGGTCTTGACTCTTTTCCAGAATGTTAAGAGGGAGGGGACCGATCTAACATCCCTAGGAAGGGTGCCCATAGTCAAGGGGCCACCATTGAGAAGGCCCTGTCTCTTGTCCCCACCAAACGTATTTGTGATGCAGGCGGGATCGAGAGCAGGGCCTCCCTGGATGATCTTAAAGTCCTAGCAGGTTCGTAAGGTTCTGTGTTTATCAATGGACCTATAATTTACTTCAATAGCATGCAGTATTTTTTGCTGGTACACTGGTGGTGACCCATCTTTGAACAAAGATATGGCTTGATCTCCAGTATCTGTCGTCTGATTGTCTTTGGGTTACTTTACTATTATGTGTTCATGTGGCTGCTTATGGAGACAATTAGGAAACTCTACTTAATATAGGTAGTGTGTCTTTGGGTTACTTTAATATTATGTGTTCATCTGGCTGCTTATGGAGACAATTAGGAAACTCTACTTAATATAAGTAGTGATGGCTATATTATCATCACTTCCTATATGGCTATATTACTTGCTGGGACAAGAAGTTGTGGCCAAACTCTGCTGTTTCCTTCTAAAACCTTTCATGGCCATTCTATAGAGTGTGGTCCTCTCTTGATCACAATTGTGCAGGTGTCTTTTGTTTTGTTTTTGTTTTTAAATCTAATTTCAATTCCAGTGTCCTGGCATCTTTCCCAGACTGGAGCTGAAGCCAGTTTCTTTAATAGCTATGAATGATAAAGATATGTGTCCTCACGAATGTAATTGCATTAGCTCTTATGTGATATCTCTTACATTTTGTAGGTTATACAAGATTATGTTCTGACATTTAAACTTACATGACCAGCTCACAAGTCAGCAGCAGAATAATTTTGCTATAACAGAACTTCAATCACTATCTTTTCCCTTATGTAGCTACCATTTACAGATGACTTTCTGTTTAGATCAGAGTTTCTCAACCTGGGGGTCAAAACTCCTTGGGGGGTTGCGAGGGGGGTGTCAGAGGGGTTGCCAAAGACCATCAGAAAACACAGTAGTTTCTGTTCGTCATGGGGGTTCTGTGTGGAAACTTTGGCCCAATTATATCGTTGGTGGGGTTCAGAATGCTCTTTCATTGTAGGTGAACTATAAATCTCAGCAACCACAACTTCCACATGTCAAGGTCTATTTTCCCCAAACTCCACCAGTGTTCATGTTTGAGCATATTGAATATTCTTGCCAAATTTGGTCCAGATCTATCATTGTTTGAGTGCATAGTGCACTCTGGATGTAGGTGAACTACAACTCCAAAACTCAAGGTCAATGCCCACCAAACTCTTCCAGTATTTTATTTAGTATTTATTTATCTAGCCTGCCTTTCTCAGCCCTAAGGTGATTCAAGGCAGGTTACAGATTGGCAACAATTCGATGCCACACATTCATAAAAAATGCAATTAAAAACATTCTGCATAACAATATAAAAACCATATAAAAACCATTAAAAACATATAAACACTAGTGTCGTCCTGTTAAACCCATTTTCCATTTTCTGTTCGTCATGGGAGTTCTGTGTGTCAACTTTGGTTCAATTCCATTGTTGGTGGAGTTCATAATGCTCTTTGATTGTAGGTTAACTATAAATCCCAACTACAACTATAAATCCCAACTACAACTCCTAAATGACAAAATCAATCCCATCTCGAACCCTACCAGTATTTAAATTTGGGCGTATCGGATATTTGTGCCCAACTTGGTCCAGTGAATGACAATACATCCTGCATATCAGATATTTATATTACCATTCATAGCAGTAGCAAAAATACAGTTATGAAATAGCAATGAAAATAATTTTATGGTTGGGGGTCACCACAACATGAGGAATTGTATCATGGGGTTGCGGCATTAGGAAGGTTGGGAATCACTGATTTAGATCAATGATTACTAATCATAGAATCATTGAATCATTGAGTTGGAAGAGACCTTGTGGGCCATCCAGTCCAACCCCCTGCCAAGAAGCAGGAAAATCACATTCAAAGCATCCCTGACAGATGGCCGTCTTGCCTCTGCTTATAAACCTGAGGGCTGAGAAGGGCAGTATAAAAATACAGTAAATAAATAAACCTCCAAAGAAGGAGCCTCCACCACACTAAGGAGAGGGTGTTCTTAAAAGCCAGACTTTCCACAGAGAAATCCACTTGTTACCTTTCTTAAAGCTTTGGCATCAAGCATCTTTTAATTTTCTAGAAGCATGTGTAATCTTTTCATTTCTGTTTTAATGTATTTACATTGTGACTGTTTTATTTTGTATTGTCGAAGGCTTTCATGGCCGGAATCACTGGGTTGTTGTAGTTTTTTTCGGGCTATATGGCCATGGTCTAGCGGCATTCTCTCCTGATGTTTCGCCTGCATCTGTGGCAAGCATCCTCAGAGGTAGTGAGGTCTGTTGGAACTAGGAAAAAGGGTTTGTATATCTGTGGAATGACCATGGTGAGACAAAGAACTCTTGCCTGCTGGAGCTAGGTGTGAATGTTTCAACTGACCACCTTGATTAGCATACAATGGGCTGACTGTGCCTGGAGCAAACTTTTGTTGAGAAGTAATTAGATGTCCTTGTTTGTTTCCTCTCTGTTGTTGTGCTGTTGTAATTTTAGAGTTTTTTAAATACTGGTAGCCAGATTTTGTTCATTTTCATGGTTTTCATGTTTTATTTTGCCCTGGAAATATGATTAAAAGATGGTGCACTCTCTAAGTTAACTTGCATGAAATGCTACTGATTCACTTGGAGCCATATTTTTGATCTTATGTCTCTCTTTGAATAGGTGGAAGCTGGGCACCAGTGGTATCTTCAAGTGATCTACGTTATCGGCCCCGAGACCATTGCAGGCCCCCGGGTGCCACGTTCCCTCATTCACCAACTGAGGCGCAGCCGCCGGGATCTTGTGGACCACAGGGGTGTTATGGCTCTGGATGACTCCTTGATCTATGACAACGAAGGTGATCAAGTCAAGAATGGCACCAACATGAAGTTTCTCAGCTTGGACCGGCAAGAGGCCGTCTCTGCCGCCTCTCTCTCTCAGACGGGGGCTTCGATTGGCAGCGCCTTTGCCAGCGTCATGCTGCTCTTCCTTGTGCTTTTGGTCACCTGTTTTGTGACCCGTAAGTGTCGGAAGCACCGGAAAAAGAAAAAGGCTGCGAAAGACATCCCGGAGCAGTATCCTCTCAATACCAAAGTGGAAGCGACCAGGAAAAGCACAGAGAGGGTGGAGAAGAATATAAACAGACAGTACTGCACTGTGAAAAACCTCAACATCCTTTGTGAAAATGAAGGGACCTACAAGGTCAAGGGGGCAAAGGTTAAGCAGGTGAACTTGGAGGTGAAAGTTCACAACAATTTACATGACGGAACAGAAGTTTAATGGCACGTTTTCAGAGTTGAGTGGTCCCATCTTTTTATAAATTGTAAAAAGGAAAAAAAGGAACTTCTATACATTTTTTTAAAAAAACATCCTGGTTATTTTTATAACAATCTTGTGAGAAAAGGGAAGATTTTTTTTCCTTTGAGGAATTTTTTCTTTGCCTGTTTGGTTGCCTGAGAGGTGAGCAAACAGCACATCTCTGCGTGCTTCCACTCCACAACAGAGCTACCTCGTTGAAAGCGGATGGCGTGAGGTTCCCGAGAGAAGAAGTGCTGACCTGCACCCCTCCTGTCCCCTTATAGAGCAGCACTCCTTTCACACAACCTCTGCGGATCCAAGTCTCTTTTGCTCTCCATCTGCTGTATTCTCCATTTATTCAGGGGCTGGACAAAAGTGATAAAGGTGCGGCATGCAAATGAGACTTCCTTGGAGATAGGAGAAAAGCACAATGTAGTGTGTGGAACAGCAGCTTTCAACACAGATGGGGTTTCTCAACCAAGGTTCTGAGAAGTATGGTTTTTTGGGGGAAAGCACATTATTTCCGAACTGTAGACATATCATGTATACTCATGTATAAGTCAACCCCATGTATTGGTCGAGGGCAGGTTTGGGGGACAAATTGTGGATGATGTAATTTGTGGCTAAGTTTTGAGGATCATTCCATGGAGACAGAAAAGGGTGAGTGCCTCCTCAGCGGGCCACTCTGCCCTAGCCAGTGGCATTTTACCACATGGGTGTTCAAAACTTTACTTACTTTACTTTACTCATTGTTGGAATATGATGGTCCTCCAAGTGTAGTGTCTTGGCAGTGGGTCCATAGGTGGCTGTGGAGCCGTATTCTTGATCCGCCTGTTCTCCCACATCGATTTCCAGGTTGAAGGCACTCCCAGTCAGGGTTGGCTTGATGCGTCTTCCTCGTGGCACGTTTCTCCCTTTTGCCCTCCATCTGTGCTTCTTTGAATTCCACAGCACTACTGGTCACAGCTGACCTCCAGCTAGAGCACTCAAGGGCCAGGGCTTCCCAGTTCTCAGTGTCTATGCCACAGTTTTTAAGATTGGCTTTAAGCCCATCTTTAAATCTCTTTTCCTATCCATCAACATTATGTTTTCTGTTCTTGAGTTGGGAGTGTAGTAACTACTTTGGGAGATGGTGATCGGGCATTCGGACACCGTGGCCAGTCCAGTGGAGTTGATGGCAAAGAAGCATTGCTTCAACAAAATTGTTCAAAAAGACCATAAGCAGCAATGTAATGGAGAAAGCAGAGAGGGCCAGTGTGTCCTCCCAGGACAGGCTAAGTTCTCATTTTTCACCACTCTACTCGGAGAATGAAATGGTTCCCCTCCTTATGTAAGAATTAAGTACCTTCATTGGGTAAATGTTTTATGAAAATGTATATACTTATACATGAGTATGTACAGTAATATTTTATGCAGGAGTTTCCAGGAAAAGAAATTCAAGGATTCCTCCAGGGTTAATAAGAAGGTAAAGAAGGCTGCTGTATTCTCATGAAGACAATCTAGTTGGAGACTTAGCCACAGGCCCATGCTCTCATTGGCTTCTTACCACAGCCACCTTCCTCCTAAGACAAAGGCCCAGATGATTGTATTCCTCAAGTGATTACTGCAGATAAGTGACAGACTGGCTGGTGATATATTGGTTATAATAGATACTTTTAAGTGTTTTGGTATAATCAATGGGAGTCAACTATTCAGGCATTTAATTTTTTTGAAGGATTAATTTTCCTCTCATCAGATTATATAAACTGGCCAAAAAAGAAAGAAGGTATAAATTCTTCTTGCTATTCATTGTAAGAGTTCTACTTTGTACTGAAAGGTCTGCCATCATAAACACTGAGCGCTAGAACAAAATCAAACCACCTATACGTTTTATCATGATTCAGAACATATTCCTTTAAATAATTTCTATACAAAAAAGTTGGTATCATAAATGTTTCTGTATTCAGTTTATGATATTTTGCTGTCAACACAATTTCAAGTCCACAATGCACATAGGATGTATTCCATAATGTACTGCAGGAGTGTCTCTTGGATCATGTATAGTAGAGTCTCACCTATCCGACCTCCGCTTATCTGATATTCCGTCTTATCTGACGCCCCCCTTTTCCTCCACAATTTCCCCTTCAATTAAAGGAGTGTTCTCCAACTCTCTCTCCATTCCCAATAAGAGAAAAAAAATAAGACTAGGAGGAGGGAAGAAAGGGAGGAAAGGCAGGACTGGAAGCGGAGGCATCCTCCCTCCTTCCGTCTGTGATTTCCCCGCTCTTCTTCTGCATCTGGGCACTTCCTGCTGGGCCACTCTAGCTCCGAAGCGTTGCCTTGCCTTAATCCTTTGAGTCCCTGTTGTTAGTATTCTAGGTGTCTAATGCTGTGTTGGACAGGTAACAGTTGGAGACTCCATAATATCCAACATTTTTGTTTATCCGATGTTCTGCCGGGCTGTTTATGTTGGATCAGCAAGACTATACTGTACTTTAGAACATGGTCTACATAAAATTGTATTGTGATGCCATGTTAGCTTGGGTTCTTGACTGGGGCCAGTTGGCCTGTCCATAATTTTACACACTGGAAGTTTACTTTTTAATTCACCTTCCACTGCTTGTTAAGATTGCAAATGTCATTGTCCAAACTACTTCCTGAAATATACTCAGGAGGAAGTTATGCACGATTTGGGTGAATGGATGGGGCATTCACAAGTGTGGCCCAATTTGTCCAACACAAAGTCCATAAAACTATAAAGCAGAATTGCCCAACCTGGTGCCTTCCAGACATGTTAGAGTACGATTCCCATCAACTGTGATGGCTGGAGAGATAGTAATACATAGCAAATGGAGTGCTGGGGAAATCAGTTGACCACATGAAAAATGGTTGTGTGAATCAGTTCTTAATTTATGATAACATTAAGATCCCATCTCAAGCCAATTTATCACTCATTCTGGATGCTAATAGTGCCTTTGAGCTTCTCCCAGGAGGTTTGTATGCTTATCATTAGTGCAGGACAGAATGTGAAAGAAAACCATTTATAAAGGAAATAAATTGTTGCCACAGATTCATTTCCACTACTAGTGATTATGTCATTTTTTTTAAAAAAAAATCTAAAACCTAGTGATTTGATTCACTTTAGTTGCCACCTACTGTTTTTTGTTATTGTTTCTGTACTCTACATTAATCTCCCAGGATCATGTGTTAAATACAATGTATAACACATTGCCTTTGAGCAGAACTGAGATCCAATAAGCCACTGCTCCATATCTTGACTATATATGGTTTTATTTAGTGTCAACAAAGTGTTGGTTGCTTTAAAATTGGTCTCTTGTCAGAAATATGGATCTCTTTCACCTGAAATGCTTTCAGACACCTGCCATTGAACGTTCAATACTTACAAGATGGAATTTTGTTGTTCATTGCTTCATAGTGGAATTCCATGTTGACTGCACCGCATAATCAGAACTCATGTAGTGTGTTATCTTCATTCAATTGGGTTAGCCATTCTGCAACACACACACACATTTCACTGGACAATCCGGCTCCTTCCACAAAAATGTGTGGGGAACTAGTTTGATGCCTGAAACAGATTGCTAGATTAAGATAATTATATTCCACTTTTAGTGCCTAAATAATGCCAAGATTGGGTTGTTGTAGGTTTTTTCGGGCTATATAGCCATGGTCTAGAGGCATTCTCTCCTGACGTTTTGCCTGCATCTATGGCAAGCATCCTCAGAGGTAGTGAGGTCTGTTGGAACTAGGAAAAAGGGTTTATATATCTGGAATGACCAGGGTGGGACAAAGGACTCTTGTCTGCTGGAGCTAGGTGTGAATGTTTCAACTGACCACCTTGATTAGCATTTGATTGCCTGGCAGTGCCTGAAGTAATCTTTTGTTGAGAGGTGATTAGATGCCAAGATTGTTTTGCAAGTAGGTGCCACTGCGAAAGCTATCATAGATCAGGGTGGCCATAATCTAAGCACATGAACAGAACATGATGAGCAAATGATTGTGGATATTTGATTTCAGAAACATTTGCTGTAATTCTCCTGTATAGTGTTGTCGAAGGCTTTCATGGCTGGAATCACTGGGTTGCTGTGAGTTTTCTGGGCTGTATGGCCATGTTCCAGAAGCATTCTCTCCTGACATTTCACCCACATCTATGGCGCACCTAACTTAAGCAGACAAGAGTTCTTTCTCCCACCCTGGACCTTCCACAGATATATAAACCTCGCTTGCCTAGTTTCCTCACAACCTCAGAGAATGCCTGCCATAGTTGTGGGCAAAGCGTCAGGAGAGAGTGCTTCTGGAACATATCCAGACAGCCTGGAAAACTCAAAGCAATTCCTGTATAGTGTTAGTTGCTTTTTTAATCTGCTGCAAAATAGTTATGACAAACTGACTGTTTTTTTAGAGACAGTTAAAACACAAACAGACTATGGTGGAATCTTCACCTTGCCTAGCATAATATCTTATCTGCAGATGCATGCTGAAAAGCATCAAAAATGGGAATAACTGCTTTCATTTCAGTCACACAATCACTTTTTTGTGTTTTGACCACAGGCATTATTGCATTAGATATGCCTGTTTATTCTAAGTTTCTGCGTTTTGTCATTTATAATCTTGCAATTAACTTAACATTTTGTAAAATCTCAAAATATTATGTAAGTTCTGATAGAATGTCATAGATCAGTGGTTCTCAACCTGTAGGTCCCCAGGTGTTTTGGCCTACACCTCCCAGAAATCCCAGCCAGTTTACCAGTTGTTAGGATTTCTGGGAGTTGAAGGCCAAAACATCTGGGGACCCACAGGTTGAGAACCACTGTCATAGATCAAAATCGTAATGTGCACAACAGTAGGCCTTTAATGTGTTGTCAAAGGCTTTCATGGCTGGAATCACTGAGTTACTGTGAGTTTTCCAGACTGTATGATCATGAGGTTGTGAGGTCTGTTGGAAACTAATCAAGTGGGGTTTATATATCTGTGGAATGACCAGAGTGGGAGGAAGAACTCTTTCTGCTTGAGGCAATAGTAAATGTTGCAGTTGGCCAGCTTGAAGAGTTCTTTCTCTCATCTCCACAGATATATAAACCTCACTTGTCTAGTTTCCAACAGACCTCACAACCTCCGAGGATGCATGCCATAGATGTGGACCAAACATCAGGAGAGAATGCTTCTGAAACATGGCCATACTGCCAGAAAACCCACTGCAACCCAGTGTGTTTTTAGGTGTTGGCTGTCCATTTTCAATTCCATGAAGAGGCAGGTTCGTTATGTTCATAAGATGGCACCTCTGACTGTTGTGAAAGCAACCTAGAATGCATCAGAGCATCAAAACTGCTGGATTTGTCTGCATTCAAATCATTATGGCATACTTACAATGGTCTGGGGTTAGAATTGCTGCTCAGTCACTGAACCCATTGGATAATCCTGGACAAGTCATACCATTTCAGCTTGACCCATTTCACAGGATTGTTGTGAGATTAAAGATAGGTGTCTTTATATAGCATTTGGGGTTCTGTAGAAGGAAACTACAAGGAAAACATCATGGCCACATAATGACAAAAATCCTTTTGGTGTTTTATACATAAGTGATTGGACATTTTATATTGAATGGCTCATAGTTCCCAAAGCATAGATGTGCACAATTCTCCATGAACATTTGTTTGCACCTTGTCACAATTCACTAAGGAAAGGTCTGGAGAACAAGCCCTATGAGGAGTAGTTTAAAGAGCTGGACATGTTTAGCCTGCAGAAGAGAAGGCTCAGAGGAGACATGATGAGGGTCATGCATAAATATGTGAGGGAAAGTCATAGGGAGGAGGGAGCATGCTTGTTTTCTGCTGCCCTGGGAACTAGGACACAGAACAATGGCTTCAAACTACAGAAAAGGAGATTCTACCCGAATATTAGGAAGAACTTCCTGACTGTGAGGGCTGTTCAGCAGTGGAACTCTCTGCCCTGGAGTGTGGTGGAGGCTCCTTCTTTGGAGGCTTTGAAACAGAGGCTGGATGGCCATCTGTTGGGAGTGCTTTGAATGTGATTTTCCTGCTTCTTGGCAGGGGGTTGGACTGGATGGTCCACGAAGTCTCTTCCCGCTCTATG